TACCATTGAAATTTGCCCTACTCCAATTAAAATCTTTAACTTTTATGGAAAGCTTAACCCTTCCAATAATCATTTTGAAGCTAATAGAATTGTGATCGCTACACTGACATGTTCTCCCACTTTTACTTTAGACACCTGCCTTATTGCCCAAAAGGTGGTCTAGTTTTATTCCTTTTCTTGTAGGAGCATCCGTATATTGATAAAGAGAATTTTCTTGGGCACATTTGACAAATTCTTCACCATCCAAACCTTTAACACTACGGTAGACCCAGTCAATGTTTGGAAAATTAAAATCTCCCATTATTACAACTTTTATTATGCTTACATATATCAGAGATCTCCGTACGTATTTGTTTCCCAGTTTCTCTCTTACTATTGAGGGGGGGCCTATAGTACATCGCAAAGTGATCTTTTCTATCTTATTTGTAATTTCTACCCATACACTTTCACTGGACAATTTTTCAGAAATATCTTCCCTAGTTACAGCAGTCAAGTATTCCTGATCAAAAATATCACCACTCTTTCTTGCCTCCTTTTCTTGACTATCCTCTTCAACTGAATATCTGTTTGATAGAGAAACAGGCACTGGAGACTTTTGAACTACCTTCTTACCTTTCCTGACACTCATCCATCTATCTGAAGGATCCTCCTGGGTAGTAACTTTTCTAAATCTACTAGCCATCTCACTCTGGACCTTATGTATGGCCTTAACAACATTTAAGCCTAAAAAAAAGGATGTTTCAATAACACCTTTCATTACCTACAGAAAATAATGTTAAAATGGAAAAATATTAAAAATATATCAAACATATAAAAATGAAATAAAAATCAGCAACTTAGCTGATTAACTGAATAAGAATGATTCCTCTTCAATGATTTCTTTTTCTTCAAGGAATTTTTCTCCAGAGCCGACCACGAGTAGGACTCTCCGGAACAAAAACAACTCCTTATTTTAAAATATATGTAAGCATAATAAAGTTGTAATAATGGGAGATTTTAATTTTCCAAACATTGACTGGGTCTACCGTAGTGTTAAAGGTTTGGATGGTGAAGAATTTGTCAAATGTGCCCAAGAAAATTCTCTTTATCAATATACGGATGCTCCTACAAGAAAAGGAATAAAACTAGACCACCTTTTGGGCAATAAGGCAGGTGTCTAAAGTAAAAGTGGGAGAACATGTCAGTGTAGCGATCACAATTCTATTAGCTTCAAAATGATTATTGGAAGGGTTAAGCTTTCCATAAAAGTTAAAGATTTTAATTGGAGTAGGGCAAATTTCAATGGTATGAGATAAGAACTTTCAAAATTTGATTGGAGTAGACTGTTCACCGGTAAAAGGATATCTGTCAAGTGGGAGGCATTCAAGAGCATGATGACAAGAGGTCAGAGGCATTTTGTTCCTGTTAAAGTGAAGGGGAAGGCTGGTAAGATTAAGGAACAATGGAAGAATAAAGATATTGAGGTTCTAGTCAAGAATAAGAGAATTTTTTTTTTTTAAACATCTCGACAACTTGGTTCAATTGAGTTCCTTAAACAATATAAGGGGTGTTGAGACATTCTTGAGAGAAATCAGGAAGTCAAAGAGGGGGATATAAGAGAATTGGCAGATAAGGTTAAGGATAATCCAAAGAGATTCTAAAAATACATTAACAATGAGGGTTGGGCCCCTTTAAAGATCAAGGAGGTCATCTTTATGTTGAACCCCAAGAGGTGGGAGAGATACTGAATGAATATTTCGTGTCAGTTTTTACTGTGGCAAAAGAAATGGAGTCTAGAGAATGCAGAGAAATATATTTTGATGTTTTAAAAACATTTCATATTACAGAAGAGGAAGTTCGGGAGGTCTTGGAGAATATTAAGGTGGATGAATCTCCAGGGCCTGATCTAATATATCCCAGAATGTTGTGGCAAGTGAGGGAGGAAATTGAGACCCCTTGCAGAAATATTTGCATCATCTATATCTGCGGGTGAGGTGCCTGATGACTGGAGGGTGGCTAATGATGTACCTTTTAAGAAAGGTTGTAAGGAGAAACTGGGAAACTATAGACCTGTGAGTCTGACTTTGGTTTTGGGTAACTTGTTGGAGGTGATTATAAAAGGATTTATGGATATTTAGAGACGCACAAATTGAATAGGGATAGTCAGCATGGTTTTGTGCGAGGAAAATGTGTCTCACAAACTTGATTGAGTTTTTTGAGGAAGTTACCAAAAAGGTGGTTGATGTCAGGGCACTAGATATCATTTACTTGGATTTTAGTAAAGCCTTAGTCTACCATGCAGAGCCTTGTCAAATTTGTAAAGATGGGTCACATGGAGTTCAGGGTGAGCTTGCCAATTGGATGCATAATTGGCTTAACGGCAGGAGACAGTAATGGTGGAGAGTTGCTTTTCAGACCGGAGACCTGTGATTGGTATTCCTCAGGGATCGGTTCAAGGTCCTCTTTTGTTTGTCATTTATATAAATTATTTGGAAGAGAATACAGAAGGCATGGTCAGTAAGTTGGCGGATGACACCAAAATTGGTGGCATTGTAGACCATGAAGATGGTTCCCTAAGATTACTCAGGGATCTTGATCAAACGGGTCAATGGGCTGACAAATGGCTGATGGAGTTCAATCTGGATAAGTTCAAGGTATTGCATTTTGGTGTAACAAACAAGGGTAGAGGTTATACCATTAATGGTAGGGCCTTGGGTGGAGTTGTAGAACAGAAGGAACTAGGGGTGCAGCTACATAATTCTTTTGAAGTTTGCATCACATGTAGACTGGATGGTTAAAAAGGTGTTTGGCACGGTTGCCTTCATTGCTCAGTCCTTTGAGTATAGGAGTTAGGACATTGGTGAGGCCTCTTCTGGAATACTGTGTCCAGTTCCGGTCACCCAGTTATAGGAAGGCTATTAAGCTGGAAAGAGTTCAGAAGAGATTACCAGGATGTTGCCAGGTATGGAAAGGTTGGATAGGCTGGAACTTGTTTCACTGGAGCATGGGAGATTGAGAGGTGATATTATAGAAGTTTAGAAAATAATGAGAAGTATAGATAGAGTTGATAGTAGTTGTCTTTCCCCTAAGATGGGGGATTTCAAGATTAGGGGACACTCTTTTAAGGTGAGAGGAGAGAGATTTTTAAAAAGATGAGAGGCAATTTTTTGCAGAGGGTGGTTCGCGTGGAATGAACTTCCTGATGAAGTGGTGGATGTGGGTACAATTACAATATTTAAAAGATGTTTGGATGGACATATGAATAGGAAAGGTTTGGCAGGATATGGGCCAGGAGCAGGCAGGTAGGACTAGTTTAGTTTGGGATTATGTTCAGCATGGACTGGTTGGACCAAAGGGTCTATTTCCATGCTTTGTGATCCTATGGAGAGCTATCATAGACGTGATGAATCAAATGGCCTCATTCTGGACATTAGAATTCTGTGACATGAGTATTTTAAACGTTTGTTTTCGCAAAATTTTGTCTGACTACTCGCTTGCATATAAGGAATTCTCAGCATATACTGTCCATAGTACCAAGTGTAATGTTTTTAATGCTTAGTCTGTAATTGTGTTGAAGTAAACCGTGTCAGTCACAGATAATAATGAGTGGTAAAGCCTCGAGATTCATTGTTAGGGAGGTAATTGTAATGTTACTAAAAGAGATGGAACCTTTTTCTTTGTAACGAAATACTGGCTGAAGTTATTTGTTGTTTGTAGGGACTCTGAGCTGTCTGACTACTAAAAAATACAACTTTAAAAAACAGAAATTTTAAGGTAAGATGGTTCATAACCTTTTAAAGTTATCTTGTAAATGAGATTTTGGTTGTGTTGTGCTTTGCTGATTTCTTAAAAATAGAGCAGTGTTCTACTGTTCTTTTTTTTTTTTAAAAAACAATCTTCACTAAGTAAATTACCTTTTACAGATACTTGGAATCTTTCAGGTAAAATTGACTTAGTACGGAATGCATGTGCCACCAGTCCAAAAAAATGAATGTGCACATATGTTTTCATCCGTTAGCTGGGTGGCTCACTTAGTTGCGTCCATTACACCTCCAAATGGAGAATTGTTACGGCTTTCAAAAGATGTGACTTGTATCTATGTACACCTTTCCTAATCTCCAAAGAACTGCAGTCTGCCTTAGAGTGGGAAAGTCTAACAGTTCTTTAACCATTTAATTTAAAAAAAAAAAAAAAAAAAAAAAAAAATTTGCATTGTGCTCTGATACATTTCAAGCAAGAAGTAGTTTGCGATGTGCCAGATAATTAACTTGCAGTTCACTCTGCTTTCAGTGAGAGTCCTATATTGTTTACTACATTACACCACTGATCTTGTGTGTTTTCCCAATCTTTTATTTTCTCTGTACACTCCAAAGAGCTATAACTTGCAGGTGTTCTTTGTTTGGCTTATAGGCATCTCCTTTTATTCAATTAATTAGCAGAATTATTCACTGAATTTTAAAATGAGGGGTATGTCACAAAAATCTACAAACCTAACTGGACCAGACAGGATAAACGCTGGAAATATGTTCTCAATGAGCAGAGACTCCAGAACCAGGGATCATAGTTTAAGGATACAGGGTAGGCCATTTAGGACTCAGATGAGGAGAAATATCTTCACCTAGAGGGTGGTGAGCCTGTGGAATTCTCTACCACAGAAAGCATTAAAAGCCTAAACATTAAACGTTCTCAAGAAGGAGTTAGATAAAGTTCTTGGGGCTAAAGGGATCAAAGGATATGGGGTCAGAAGAGTGGAAAAGGTATTGATTTGGATGATCAGACCATATTGAATGGCAGAGCAGCCTTGAAGGACCGAATGGTGTGTTTCCTCTTTTTCCTGTGTTTCTGGTCTAAAATTAAGAATAGCACATTTATTGGTATAATGGTCGTATCAAGAATTATTTTAACTGTGTAAGGATCTACAAGAGGCCTATTGTAAGTACCTAATATCACAGTCTTAATGTTTGTGGTTGATAATACAAGATAAACAACATTTTACACCTCTAATTTCTATCTTACTTTAGATCTTTCTGAAATGTGATCAGCAACTAAGAAAAAAGTTGGGAAACCGAAAGGAGAAGACCCTGAAGTGTCTGTTGATGTGTGTGGAGTCTGTTTTTTAATTGAATATGATATTTTGTCAGTATGTCTTCACAGTTGCCGCATGTACTTGTCACACTCTGCAGCTGGTCTGCTTTAGAGAATGTTTAAAAACAAGCAACATACTTTAAAGGAAAATTTAGAATTGTGTAACTCCATGCCCCTCCTCTCCCTGGTTGCCTGCAATCAGTTAAAACTTACTTATTTAAAGAAAATTTTGACACTCAAATTTAAAAATTATTTTTAGTGTTGGAGGAGTCAAACTCTTCATTTATCCCAATCGTAAGTTTGAATACCTTTGGCAAGAACAGATATTTATAAAGGCATATTTGATAGTATTTGAAAGATAGCGGGGTAAACCAAACTCTCGCTTACCTTTCTCCAGAAGTGCAGAGTATATCCACTGTGCAGGTGAACATAAATGACTTGATTAACTCTGGAGAAAGCACAATGTCCAGGCAAGTTTCCTCTGGTTCGAAAACAAGTGTACTTTTTTTTTAAAAAAGGGAAGTGTTCTGCACTCTGGGCACTCTCTGTAGTTGCAGCCCTCTGACTGGACATTGGGGTTTAAAAATGGTAATGGAAAGCATGTGTACAATATCCACAGTATTATCATTCTGAAGAAACCAAAGTGCTGCTTGTAACTGTTGCTTGCTATATGTGGTGCACAGATGTATGGCAGTTAGATTATTAAAGAGCACAGATTTTTGTCTATTTTTTGACCAAGTTACTTTTGCATGCTGCATTGAAGCAGCTGAAAACTTCCTTTGTTCTGAAGAAATGCAGAAATCTGGACCGCTTAAAAGCTTATGACATGGTAACCACAGACACCTCTGCTGTCTAATTTATCGTATTCATGTTTGAATCAATTGTCACTACATTCCAGTTTACAGAAATAAATCACTCTTGACCTACAAACACGGTTTAAACATTTCCATCCCACAGTTGCCCAGTGATGACTCTGCACTGTCCTTAAGAATTAAATGTGCCTTAATTTTTAACGGGTAAGATTTTTACACACAATATTTGATAAATGAAATTTTGCTATAGCAAACTTGTATGTTATGAGGCTATGTTGTACATATTTGATACGTTTGTGTATAATTTCTTGATTTGTAGAGTCTTGCAGTGTATATTTGTGTTTTAGTACTAAATCATACTTTTCAGTGTTGAGATCATGTTCTTATACAGTTTTTTTTGAAATAAAGTATTTAAACCTATTTTCTCTCAATGACTGAATTATGTATCATCAGCAATCTGTGTTAATAATGCAAATCCAGAAAGTAGTAATATGTTGTTCTCCCATTAGTGAAATAAACATTGGATGCTCAGATGAAGTGTGTTAGATTAAGGCCTTATTAACTTGTCATTGTGCCTTCTGGTCTATGAATGTATTAGTTTACTCCTGATCACTTCTCCATGTAATTTTCCAAGTGCATATTGCCATATTAATTTAGTTAGCACCACTATTTTCAATACATTTGTTTGTTGATGCCTGTGCTTCGTTAACTTATTAATTGCAGTTATAGTTTGTCAGCATCCTTTTATTACTTGTGCATTACAATACATTTGTTCATAATCTGTTTTCGTTTTGAGATTTCAAGATGTTAAAGAACATTAATTTAGCTTCCAAGTTTTTAAAATTCAAATGCTACATAATTTTATTGTAATGTTCAGTCATTGTGTCTTTTGGAAAGATCAAGATAAAACATTTTAACATGATACAGGTCATAACTCCCAATGTGTAATCATATGGGAGACCCACCAGTATTTTTTTTTTTCTGTGCAGACAAGGCTTGTTTATGAAATCATTTTTGATCTAGCTTCATGATGAGTCACCCAAAAATCAGACTGGAGTGCAAATAATGCCACAAAAGATGGAGGAATGCACAAGGCTGGATTCAGCAAACCACTGAGCATTGTGAAGGAGAATGCATAGATGTAGAGCAGGATGAAGCAATAATAGATTACAAAAGTAAGCACAAAGATAAGTGAGAACTTAAATTGAAAATATCAAGCACATTTATTTTACAGAAGATGAACAAATACAACCTTAACAGTCATAGTGAAATTATATATTGACAATTGTCATCCTGCAATCAACACTTGATTGAGCAAATTAATATCACAACAAAAAAATTAATGCTTGATTTAAAAGTTAACATCTTTCTTGGACTTACTGCTGTGTGAGCCTAATTAGTTGCCACTGCTTTGAAATCCTGAAAGAGTTGATTTCCGCAGACCCTGAATTGAACAGAATAGCTGCTTCTGTACAGGAAAATTTTACAGAAGTATATATAAAAAAAAATCATCCATCATATACAAACTGGACCAATGACACAATGTTACCTTTGAACTGTCCTCCTCTAGTCTATGAGCAAGACCTGCAATATACAGGAATAAAGTTGGTGTGCAACTACTTGGCGTTAACATAACAGCCTCTTAATCAAAATCTGATCAAAAATGCCTTTTTGGTTAAAGGGAAATGGTATTAAAGTCTGTAAGTGATAAAAGAATAGATGAGCAGTGGGTCTGAGTTAGACCAAAAGTTAGCATTGTCATCTGTGGAAAGAAGCAGTAAGTCTAGGGAGGATGAGATTTTTTTTTAAGCTCAATTTAAGGTTGCACAGTATGTGGGTTGGCTTAGCATTGTGTATTGGCCTAACTACAGGAGAGAAGAGCTTATGAGAGGGCCTGACAGTGAAGGCTTTAGTCTTCCAAATGTTGGGTTTGAGGAAGTTGTGACTTGTTCGTAAATCAATGTTTAACCAGAGGAAATGGGAGAGTTTTTTTTTCACCCAGAGAATGGTAGACAGATGGAACATGTTCTGAGACGGTGATGGAGGCAGATACACTCAACATTTTAAGTGCTGTCCGGATGAGTGCTTAAAATGTCCGGGCATAATAGGCTATAGACCAGGGGCAGGTAAATAGGATTAGTGTAACTTGGTGTGTATATTGGTCAGCATAGACATGGAAACAGGTGTCTGAGATTAATCTGCAGTTTTCATTGGAGGCAACTCTGCCTTGTGTGCAGTTCTTTGAATCTGCTTGTCTGGAATTATAAAATGCCCTATTGAGGAGTGAGCACATATTGGTTTAAAATAACTAGGTTGGACTGTTTTCTGAGATCAAAGAAAGAGAAATCAGTCATCAGATATTTCTGATTGGGCAGACTTGCAAAATATCCAGGAGTGCGATGAACCCCATGAGCACTTTTTAAATTAGTCTGATAGCACAGCAGATTTATATGGCATCCCTCCATGAAACCAAAACCAGTGAGAGTAGCCCCTCCACATCTAGTTTCTACCTCCATCCAGATCAGGTTATGACTCCAAATTTGTACTTTGCAAAGTTAATTTGATTCAGGAAAAATAAATTACATTTTTACAGTGGAACAAATCCACTAAATACTTTTGGTGTATGCATTACATAACATTGTATTTCACACACTCAAAGATCAAAACATTTATATTGAATTTTTTTTTACTCTTAATCTAGTCAGTGCACTTCTGTTAACTTTGTGAAATTATTACATACCTACCATTGTAAAGCATTTTCTGACCTTTTAACAGGACTTTATGGGTATCAGTTTGAGTATATAAAAAGTAAAGTATGGATGTCCACAGATTTGGCTTGTGCAAGGCCAGGAGCAATCGTTATAATCTAACTGGATTTTCATTCGATCAAATATGCATGTCTAGGTCTTCAGACCCCTTGACCACTTTTTTTTTTTTAATCTGTTTGGATCTGTCTTGAATTTGTTGACAATGCTTCACAGTTTCTCCCAAATAGTCACTGTCCCATTATTGTAAATTAGTTTCGCCTAAACTTTTCATTCTGTCTCCTCTCTTGAGATTAAGCCTACACTGAATCTGTTAATCTTTCAAGCCCATCTTCTATTTTGAAGCAAAGTTTAAGGAAGACTTCATTTTGCCTCTGTCCACACAAATTAATTTTGCTTCTGCTTCTATATTGTTATTGTCTAAATCTACAGATCCAGAGCGATGATATTTTATCAGGATTGATGCTGTTGTCTGTGCATCCTCGCAGATCTGTGTTGTATGTAAATAACATGTCAAAATCTACCCACTTTCCACCTCCCCAGTCACCCCACGGTTTCCAATATTGAGGCCAGCAATTGTGCTCTTAATGAGGAGGCAGGGGAGATGTTTAATGCACTGCTTGAGGCAGTGGTGTGGCTATTTTATTCTAATTTACGGGGGACAATAGCCTCAGGCCCGTGTCAGACGTAACACCTTGGAGAAGTATCTATGCTGTATATAGCAAAAGCTTACTTCATTCTAAACAAAAGAGAATGCAGTTCCTTATGTCTGAGCCGAAATTATATTTCTTAAATGTTGGTCTGATAATTCAAGTGAGGATTTTGATCATTTTACCGTGCTGCATTTGGGTATGTCTCTAAATGGAAGTTCGAGTGCTGTAGCCAAAAGTTATTTGAGGGTTCCAGACATATGATGGGCTTAATTTACAGTAATGGGGTGGTGACTATTTGTGCCTGCTGTCATTTCAGAAAGCATCTACAAAATGCTTTGTTTAAAATATGTTGACATGAAAGTGGTTAGTTCCAGTGTCTACCTGGCCTACATCTTTAAAATTTCCTATTCCAGTGCTGCACTGAAGCATTTTGCATTATGGCTGATGAAAATATTTCCACTTTTCCCATGCACCAAAATCCTATGATAACCAAGGTTATGAATTACAAACTAATTTGACTCTAATAATGCATCTGAACAATGAGAAGAGACTTGCACTTTGTGGTCTGGCTGTGACTTCACCATGTGATGTTCAACATTAGATGATTAGTGATTCATTCACTAACGGCATAAGAGGGGGAATACAGAGTGATCAGTGAGAGATGAGGTCAACTGATTCCTGTGATCTTAGTTGACCTGAGAGTGCATGGAGTCGCTGGTCAATATTGTGAACTACCAGAATGAATCTCACCTGATTGATTACTATGTCTCGCTATCCTGCTATTGAAACAGGCTATCCATGGTAATGGGAAAATCAGGGACTTTGCATAGAAGATATGATGGGGATTTTACATAAAACAGGTTGTCGCTTCTAGAACTGCTTTCCCAACTTGAGTTGCACATGTTAGTGAGGCAGACTTTGATCTGCCAGCAGCAACTTTAGTTCATAACAGCAATTAGCCCAGTCTACAATACAATGTGATTATCGTCCTGTAGAACTTCATACTTGTTTCCATGGTTGGGTGGCACAGAACTTGAATATCCTGAGAAAAAATATTTTTTGTCAGCTTTCACTCTTCAGGACAAATTGCAAGGAAGTGATCATTCTGCCCAGAGGGTCTCCTCCAATCCTGCAGAAAACATCCCACCCAAACCCAGCCCACCACCCCATCCCTGTAACCCTGCAATTATCATGGCTAATCCACCTAGCCTGCACATCTCTGGACTGTAGGAGGAAACCAGAGCATCAGCAGAAACCCACACAGACACCGGGAGAATGTCACCCAAGGCTGCAGTGCTAAGCACTGAGCCACCATGCCACCCTTTTAGGGCACATTGCACTCTGTCAATCTTTCCCAATTTTTTTCCTTTCGCGCGATTTCTCGTCTCTGCTTGCTCTTTACAGCTTCATTTTCTTCTTAGCAATCTTCCTATTGTCCCACTTTAGTTTGACCTTCTTCCTTTTCTCTCTCAGCTCGCACTAGCTGTCTATTTCTTCTTTTCCAGTGTTTCTCAAGCTTTTGCCAATGCCAAGACCCCATCTTGAAAATTAAAAATCCCCACAAACCTCAAGTGAGAACTCTGAGCAGGAGAGGAAGACATGCGAAAGCAAGGGGGCTGATCCTGTGAAAGTGATGACATTTCTGTTAGAATGGAAACGCAACTACTATCAGAGCTCCATGTGGACCTTGCGCCTCTGAGCTCACGACCCCTAAAGTTTCAGCTCACAATCCCCTTGTGGTACCGACGCCAAGTTTAGGGGAAACCTGTTTTCCACAGAGAGAGATTCTGCAGAATTAGGGGACAGGGCATTGGCAAATCCCAGCTTTGAAACAACCGGTGACAGGGCAGCCTTTGTATTTTACAGGTATTTTTAATCAAACTGTTCAGAGATGTTATTGATTCTGAGGGACAGGATTTACATATATTTGGAAAGTAAAGGACTGATTAGGAATAGTCAACATAGCTTTGTGCGTGGGAAATCGTGTCTCACTAACTTGATTGAGTTTTTTGAAGTGACGAAGAGGATTGAAGGCAGAGCTGTCTATATGGACAGCAGTAAGGGGTTTAGCAAGGTTCTGCATGGTAGCCTGGTTTCCAAGGTTAGATCACATGGAATACAGGGAGAACTAGCCATTTGGATACAGAACTGTCTCGAAGGTAGAAGACAAAGGGTGGTGGTGGAAGGTTGCTTTTCAGACTGCAGGCCTGTAACCAGCACTATGCCACAAGGATCAGTGCTAGGTCCGCTGCTTTTTGCCATTCATGTAAATGATTTTATGTGAATATTTGAAGGAGTGATTGGTAAGTTTGCAGATGACACCAAAGTTGGTGGTGTAGTGGACAATGAAGGTTACCTCGAGTATAATGGGATCTTGATCAGATGGGTAGGTGGGTCAAGAAGTGGCAGATGGAATTTAATTTAGATAAATGTAAGGTGCTGCATTTTGGTTGGGCAAATCAGGGTAGGACTTATACACTTAATGGTAAGGTCCTGGGGCGTGTTGCCAAACAAAGAGACCTTGGGGTACAGGTTTATAGTTCTTTGACAGCAGGGTCACACGTAGAGACAATGAAGAGGGCATTTGGTAAACTTGCCTTTATTGGTCAGTGCATTGAGTATAGGAGTTGAGAGGTCATGTTGTGGCTATACAGGACATTGGCTAGGCCACTTCTCGAATATTGCATTCAATTCTGGTCTCCCTGCATTAGGAAAGATGCTATGAAACTTGAAAGCGTTCAGAAAAGATTTACAAGGATGTGTTGGCAGGATTGGAGTGTTTGAGCTACAGGGAGAGGCTGAATAGGCTAGGGCTGTTTTCCCTGGAGTGTCAGAGGCTGAGGGGTAATTTTTGTAGAGGTTTATAAAATCATGAGGGGGTATGGATAGGGTGAGTAGTCAGGTCTTTTCCCCAGGGTAAGGGAGCCCAAAACTAGAGAGCACAGCTTTAAGGTGAGAGGGGAACTATTTAAAAGGGACTTAAGGGGCAATGTTTTCACACAGAGGGTGGTATGTGTATGGTAAGAGCTGCCAGATGAAGTGGTGGAGGTGGGTACAATTACAACATTTAAAAGGCAGCTGGATGGGTATATGAATAGGAAGGGTTTCGAGGGAAATGTCAGAATGCTGGCAAAGGGGACTAGATTAATTTAGAATATTCAATCAGCATGGATGAGTTGAACCAAATGGTCTCTTTCTGTGCTGTACATCTCTATGACCCAATGACTCTGCACATCTCTGGAGCAGGTGGGATTTGAGTCCGGGCCTCCAGGCTCAGATGTAGGAACATGACACTACACCATGAGACCCCCTTGTATTTTCTAATCCGTGTTTAACTTTCATCGAGTTGATTGATAAATCCTGGAGCACATATTAACATGTTTCATTATAGTTGCCCTACTAGACTTATGTTAAAAATATGTAGCTTATAGAAAACAAGCAGTTATAATTTTAATATTATCTGCCAGCATTTGGAATGAGTGTAATCACATTTTCCCCCACAGATGGAGTTTGTGATTTGTAAACTCTTAATAAAATACTTAACTAGGCTTCAACATTTCATTGAATTGCAAACGATAGTTCCCTTTTTCACTACCCTCAAATGTTAGGAAACATGACTTCGAGTTTGATGGTCCTCCATTTCTTGACTCCAGTCACCATTGTTCACACATAATACTGGAGAGTGAATATCTGTGAGTATTCAATGCTGGCTGTTGCTTACATACTGTTGTGATCCAGTAACTCGGAACAGGCCAGCGATCAAACCCAAAACTAACCTGGTCTGGATAATTCAATAGTCAGCTACACATTACATGTATCCAATAGGAAAATGAGGATGTTCTATTCAGAGAGTGGATCATTGATCTGAAGACTTAACTCTACTTGTCTCTCATCGATGTTGCCTGACCTGTTGAATGTTCCCAGCATTTTCTCTTGTTATGCAATGCATCAAGACATTTTCAAACTTGTTCTTGAGGGAAAAATAACTCCTTGTTCCACAAGCTGCAGAAAATAATAAGTCCTCAAAAAAAAAACTAGCATTGGCCAGGAATGGTGTACTCTTCCTGCTTTTCAGCTGGCACTCTGCGTAGTAAGCTTCTTTTGTTTTCTTCCTGGATACTGGCTTATATTGTTTTTATTTTATGTTCTTGGAAGAGCTTACAAAATACTCTGAATTTTTGTGATGAGAAGGATCTGTGCAGAAAGTCTTCCGATGCCTTGAAATAATTCATTTGATTGGATCCTATAGAAGTAACAATAGCACAGAAATCTATTACTGACATTGAAGTGATGTTAAAGTGTACTTGATATTCATAACACAGCTCTGTGGAACTAAGCACTCTCGCTATCACAGTTATTTCCTTCAGCCCTCAGCATGCTTCCTTCAATTCAGGTCTCTTAAGCAAACCCTGTTTTAATCATTCCACCACTTCAGCCATACCTTCAGTTGCCTAAGCCTCCAACTCTGGAATTCTCTGCGTCTCTACCTGTTTTTTAAGACTCCTCTTGAAATTTACTTCTTTGACCAAGCATTTCAGTGTGATTTGGACAAGTTGGGTAAGCGAGCAAATGTATGGTAGGTGAAGTATAATGTGGATAAAATGAGGTTATTCACTTTGGAAAAAACAGCAAGGTAGATTACTATCTGAATGGGGGTAGTTTGGGAGGTGCAATGAGACCTCAGTACATCAGTCACTGAAAGTAAGCATTGTGGGGTGCAGCAGGCAGTGAAGGAAGCAGATCCTACGTCGGCAAGAGGATTCAACTGCTGGAGCAGGGATATTTTGCTGCAGTTATACAGAGCCTTGATGAGAACACACCTGGAGAAATGTGTGCAGTTTTAGTCTCTTTATCTGAGGAAAGATGCTCTGGCTATAGAGGGAGTGGAATGAAGCTTTGCCAGACTGATTCTTGATTTGGTAAGCCTGACATATGAAGAGACAGTGGGTCAGTTAGGACTATATTCACTTGAGTTTACAAAAATGAGGAGGCATCTCATAGAAATCTATAAAATTCGAACAGGACCAGGCAGGGTTAACACAGGAAGGATGTTCCGATGACCAGGGAGCCTAGAACTGGGTGTCACAGACTAAGGATACAGATACATTTAGGACTGAGATGTGGAGAAATTTATTCACAGAGAGTGGTGAGCCTGTGGAATTTTCTGCCACAGAAAACAGTTGAGCTCAAAGTATTGAATGTTTTCAAGAAAGAGTTAGATCTAGTTCTTGAGACTAAAGGGATCAAAGGGTATGGGGAGAAAGCGGGAACAATGTGCTGAGTTGGATGATCAGCCATGATCATATTGAATGACGAAGCAGGCATCAATGGCTGAATGGTCACCCAGTCTACGCTTCGTTTCCCCAATGTAGAGGAGATCACATTGCGAGCAGCGAATGCAGTAGACTAGATTGTGTGAAGTGCAGGTAAAGCACTGCTTCACCTGGAAGGTATGTTTGGGCCCTTGGATACTGGGGAGGGAGGAGGTAGGTGGGCAGGTGTTGCACCTTTGGCGGTTACAGGGGAAAGTACCGTGGGGCTGTGGGGGTGGGGGAGGATTGTGTTGGGGGTAAAGGAAGAGTGGACAACGGTGTCCCGGATGGATCAGTCCCTGTGGAAGGCGGACAAGGGAGGGGAGGGGAGTATGTGTTTGGTGGTGGCATCCTGCTAGAGGTGGCGGAAATGGCGTTTGATGATCTTCTGGATGCGGATGCTGGTGGGATGTTAGGTAAGGACCAGGGAACCCTATCAATCAGTGTTGTGAGAGGGCAGAAAGGGGGTGAGGGCAGAAGTGCGGGAGATGTGTTGGAATCGGTTGAGGGCCCTGTCAACTATGGTGCTGGGGAATCTTCGGTTGAGGAAGAATATTTCAGAGACGCCCTTGTCGAAGTTGGCCTCATCGGAACATATGCAATGGAGACAGAGGAACTTAGAGAATAGATTGCAGTCTTTACAGGAAACAGGGTGTGAGGATGTACAGTCCAGGTAGCTGTGGGAGTCGGTAGGTTTATAGTGGATATTAGTGGCCAGTCTATCCCCAGAAATGGAAGGGAGGAGTCGGAGATAGACTAGCTGAAAGTGAGGGCATGGTGAAAATTGGAAGCAAAATCAATTAACTTTTCCAATTCTGGGTGAGAGAGGGAAGCAGCACCGATGATACCATATATGTATTGGAGAAAGAGTTGTGGGTGGGGGCTTGAATAGGACTGGAACAAGGAATGTTCCACGTACCCCATGAAGAGACAGGCATAACTGGGGCTCATGCTGGTACCCATGGTCACCCCTCTGAGCTGAAGTAAATAAGACGAGTTAAAAGAGAAGTTGTTGAGGCTGAGGACAAGCTTGACCAAGCAGAGGAGAGTGGTGGTGGATGGGAACAGTTCAGGCCTTTGCTCCAGGAAGAAGGCTAGAGTCCACAGACCATCCTGGTGGGAGGTGGACGTGTAAAGGGAGCATAACATTGGTCTTGGAACATGCATGGACCTAACCTCATCACTACTGTTCTTTTTTATTCCCCATCCATTTTTATGTCTGTTGGAGAATAATTGAGTTTATTGCTATGATTGTCAACAACTCCATTACTATTGTATCATGTGACTACAAAATGATAGAAAATGAGGTAGGTGGCTTCGGTCAGTCACATCTAGCAGTTCCTATTTTCGTATGACTCTAGTTCAGTGTAAGTTAACAATATCAGTCATAGAGGCCATAGCGTGGCTTGTATGAGGAACTCAACAGGACTCCAACTGGTGCAATCAAGAGTGATCCTTTTTGCTTTTTCAAGGGTAGGACAGCAAAAAGTGACCTTTCTTACTCATGCGTTCATGACTCAAAGTTTGTATCTTAAAGCACCTTTCGTAACCTCAGCACACGCGAAGGCACTTTTCAAATAAATAACTTTCCAAATGTGCAACAGCCAACATGCTCACAGTAACTGAATAATGAGCAGATCATTTTGTTTAGGTGACAAAGGGGAAATCTTAGCCAGGACACTACATGCTACATGATCTTTTACACCCACCTGGGCAAGCAGATAGTGCCTCATCTGACCCCCTCCCCACCCGAATTCCCAATGTCAAGTTTTGATCAGCACAAAAATTAATGTGCAATAACTCATTTATAACCCATTGTAAATTTCGAGCCCGGTGACAGAAATGGCTGGTGAGGACAAATGTGCTGCATTTCATTGTGATATTTATTGTTCTGAGTTTCATTTCATCGCTGTCCAAGTCATCAACTGATTTCAAAATCAGCTCAATCTGTGAACACTCAGCGAATGTAATCAAGCAATTATTTACAGCCTTTACCACAAAAGTCACAACAGAGATATTGCAATCTCTTTTCGAAAGCAAAAAGATTGCCGCAATATATATACTCCAATTTTATTGAGAGTAAATATTAGTTTTACCTTAGAGCATCCACTTTCATTTTTCAATCAATGTTTGCAAATCGTTTGGTGAAGAAAGATGAGATAAACTTATTCTGGGACTCACCAAGTTTGTGTCAATCGTTGTCGATATCCAATATTTCATTCAAGTCATCAAGGTCACCCTCGGCTAATTTTGCTGTAACACCTTCTTCCAGTTCGTCTGTGTTCCCCAATGTTGTGGTCCCATACTCACTAAAACAAAACCTCATTGTGTTTTAGCAGACTTAAAATAAGCAGATGAGGATATTTTCAAAGCAAATCAATACACTGTTGGCTCAGATTTTGCACTGAGAATAAGTGGGAAGTTGTTAGCACTTGCTGTGTGACATTCATTCATGGGATGTGTGCGTTGCTGGCTGGACCAGCATTTGTTGATCATCCCTAATCGCCCCCTTGATCTGAATGACTGGCTAGAGCCATTTCAGGAGTCAGTTAAGAGTCAACCGTGTTGCTGTGGGTCTGGAGTCATATGTAGGTCAGACCAGGTAAGAATGGCAGATTTCTTTCTCTAAAGGACATTTGTGAACCAGATAGGTTTTTACAGCAATCCATACAGTTGCAATTGGACCAGATATTTAATGCTTTCAGATTTCACCATCTGCCATGGTGGGATTTAAGCCCATGTCTCCAGCCCAGTGACACTGCCATTGCTCAACTGCGTGCCCATTGCACAATGCTCAGCTCCTTTTGTTGGGACACTGAAGCAGCTTACGTTCATGTGCAACAAGACCTGGATATTATCCAGGCTTGGGCTGAAACTAGGTAAGTAAAATTCACACCACGCAAGTGCCAGACGATGACAATTTCACACGAGAAAATCTAACCGTTGCCCCTTGACATTCAATGTCATTGCCATCACTGAATCCCTCACTCATTAACATCCTGGGGTTTAAAAGATAAAACATAAAGTTACCATAGTCTTACCAGACGGTACAGCTATTCCCTCATTGGGGAGTGACGACTGATGGTGGTTTAACCCGAGGATCACCACAACTCAGGTGAAGGAGAGGTTGTGAAGGACAGTCCTCCATGGTAACCTCAGCTGGTGTGAGAATTGAACGCATACTGCTGGCATCACTTTGCCTTGCTAATCAGCCATCCAGCCAACTCAGCACAACCTTCGTTGCCATGGGAGTTGCTGAATGGAGTGCTGAAGGCGAGGGTTGACAATTGAAGGTGTAAATGGTGGGGAGGCAACGGCCTAGTGGTATTATCACTGGACTGTTAATCCAGAGACCCGCATAACGTTCTGGGGACCTGGGTTCGAATCCCCCCCACGGCAGATGGTGGAATTTGAATTCAATAAAATATCTGGCTTTAGGAATCTAATGATGACTGTGAATCCATTGTCGTTTGTCGGAAAAACCCATCTGGTTCACTCATGTCCTTTAGGGAAAGAAACTGCTATCCTTACCTGGTCTGGCCTACATGTGACTCCAGACCCAAGGCAATGTGGTTGACTCTTGTCTGCCCTCTGGGCAATAAGTGCTGCCTGGCCAGCAATACCTTCATCCTGTGAATGAATAAAGAAAAAAAAATGGATGATGCTTAATTTGATTAACTTTGGCAATGATAATATTTTGAAGAGATCACTGTGCATCTCAAATATTTTTCAATGAATGAAATCATTTTAGTTTGAATTTTCATCAGTGTAGAAACTAGGAAATGCAGTCACTAATTCCTGCTCAGCAATCTTTCAGGAAAGGTGATAACGACCAAATAATTCTTTTCTTGGTGTTGCCGAGTGTGGGTTAGATGTTGTCCAAGACACTTCAAATAACTTCCTGCTCTTCTTCAAAATACTGCCATAAGAACTGTTACACCTACCCAAAGTGTCAGCCAAAGGGACCTCAGTTTAATATCTTACGTGAAGGATAACTCCACAATGTGACAGTGGCTCTGTACTACGTTGGAGTGTCAGTCTTGATTTTGTGTTCAAGCCCTGAAGTACAACTAGATTTACTGGAAAGTGTTCCCTGTGTTATCATCCCTGCAGAATTTAATGCAAGCCAGATCAGATAATGCAACCAAGTCAGAGTGAAGCTTGGCTCAATAGATTGAAAGTTTTTGTATCTGTTTTCATTTGGTTACCGTAGGGATTAGTCACTTAAACATATTCACATGGGCTGCAAATGTTCTTTAACAAAAGAACGTAAGTTTATTACACAAAAGATAAAAGAACTAACAGTACTAAATATAGATGTATTTCAGACCGTTTACAAAGATCATAAAATAAACAGCAAAACAAAGTTTCAACCTGTTTCCAAACGGTATCCTTTACGGATACTCAATCCCAGAGATATATCACTCCTATCTCAACTCTTCAATTTCTTACTTAACTGACTCTTCCTGGGACTTCTGAGTTTTAAGACTTATTTCCAGTTCTGACAACTTGAAAACTTATACGCAAACTCTCACAGCTCGGAGACTTCACAAACTAAAACCTTCAGCTAGCGTGATTGTTCATGTCAACTGAAAACATGATTCTTCCGTTACGGGCAACTTTTGACTGAAATCAAAGTAAAGCTAGTCACCCAAGGTCGGTTTTCTCTGTCTGTCATAAGCTCAGTAATACAAACATCCCATCCCCAGTAGCACAACAAATTTTGTGCCAGACACTTAACTAAATGGTACGTTTGCTCAGAAATTATGTATCTAGGTCACTGTTCCAAATGACACTCTGACCTTTTTTTTTTAAAACTGTTATCATGAAAGAGCAAATCTATGAGTCCTCAAGGATTGTGTCCTTCTGGACAGTTAATGCTAAAACATTAATGCTGAACTTTTACAATCCCTACACAAGAAAGCTAATCAGTGATGGCTGCTTTTCATTCCTAGGACATCGACCTACAAGGTTGTCCGATTATTGGATAAACGATTAAGCACAGCACTGTGCACAATGTTCATTTAAAGCACATCTTTTCTTCATGCCCAAGATGTGGACAATGCTGACAAGGCATTTCTTTGCCCATTCCCAGTTGCCCTCGAGAAGGATCTGTTGAGTCAGCCTTTTGAACCACTTTAGACCATGTGAATGACAGCTCGACATATCAATTTTGAGACAATTGCTTGGTGATCTCAGAGGGCAGGTAAATCAGATGGGGTTTTAATGACTTTTTATTTCAGATTCGTTTCATTAACTGTGCTGGGATTTGAACTCATGTTTCTGGATCATTTGTCTAAGCTCCCAATTACTCATCGAGTAACATAACCGTTATACTAGCACAACCTCAAACAACAGTTAAGCAGTGCTTTTATGAGTTTAGACAGCCAACAAGCACTCTGCCATTCCAAAACTGATTGCTGAGTGTATTTTCCTTAAGCAGCCACAGCTTCCATGCACTTCCCAATGGACAATACAATCTCGATTAACACAAATTAATTAGACTCAGGTGTGAAGCTGGATCTCCTCACCAAAACACCACGGCATTGCAGGAGTCCATGGGACCAAACAATAGCTTAAAAGAAAGTCACAGCTGCAGGAGTGAAGAAATTTTTCTAAAAAAGGAACAGGTAAACTGTCAGCTACAGTCCAACTGACACATGAACCTTGGCTACTTAAAACTTTACTATATTTTCTGGGATCATCCTATAATTTTCCAACCTTTTTTTCCTGCATCCCATTCATTAGCTTTCCAGGATGCCATTTGTTCTGTATTTCATCAGGCACCAACTGGGAGACTGCTGGGTGCCACCCATTTTTCGCTGCCTAAATATCTTTGGTGTCTGCACAGTCATGAGGTGTTTTTTGTAAGAGTTAATCCTCATCACTGTTGTATGAGTTCTCTGGGAATGTGCTGCAACTTTCATTTTTCTTTGTAGGGTTCATCAGGGCCTGCTCAGTCTGGTGCAGTAGAGAACAACCACTCGGTGGTCTTAACAAGAATAGGCTCTTAAATAAGATGTTATTCATTACATCTTGGCAACAATGCACAAGTTACATTAATAAGATAAACATTGTTACAGAGACATTTAAGAAGACAAAGATTGATAACGGTTACTCATTTGAGATGCTGAGCTATCCTCCTCTCCAAGTCCACATGATATCACCTTGAGCATTAACCCTTTCAGCAGCTTTATAGACAGCATAAGATCTGACCAGTTCTAACTCTGATTAAGTCTAGAATGTTGTTCGGGAGCTCGGGAGTTGAGACTCAGGTGGGAGTCGAGACTCAGGTGAGAGTCGAGCAGAACTGGCCCGGGATAGAAATTCGTGAAGTGTGTGGAAAGTACCAGAAGATCAAACTATGTCTCTGGTCCTGAATCCCGGTCAACAGGAGCAAAGGGGTATGAAAGGTAATAAGAAGGGTAACAATAAGAAGGGAAAATTAATACTAAAGCTGTAGATGTCAGTGTACCTGCTAAGTGACTGCATCCCAACCGTTTCCATTGAATGCTCCTTTGTGCAGCTCTCCCTTTGCTTCTCATCTTCTCGTGGTCCCATCAGGGAATGAGGTGAGATCTTCACATTCTCCTCCTCATTCAGTCCTGCATGACCATTACTGTCCTCTGTAAAACAAGAAAATGTGGCAGACTTCTACCAATCGACATTTTTTTAACTCCTTGAATCATTCACAGGACTCCTCCCTATTTAGTGCAAGAAAATCACTAACACCAGGTCCATTAATTAACCATTAAACGACACTTGTAACTTTGAATTAGTTGTAGATGGAGAGGATTCAAGAAATTGATCCCTTACCAATAATCAATGGGATAATGACTAGGACTCTTGCAGAATGGAAATGCATTGAATTGGGCCACTATTCCACCGGGTCTCCCACTAGAAATGAATAACCAGTTGCAATATGAACAAAAGATACAGCTCTTTACTCAGCAAGGCTCAGCAGCTCCCTCTACACAGAAATACAGGGAGCCAGTGACTGAATTAAATTCCACACTGACCAGCCATATTGCCAAGTGCAAAAGCCTAGAACATACCTCAAGGTACCCAACACTGAGGCGAACAAGGGTCAAAGGGGAAGGTAGTGTTAGAGACAGAAGCAAAATCAGGCTGCGTGGTGTCTCTCATTTCCTGCCGCACAGCAGATGATTGCCCACCATTGCCAGAGGTATCATGGCAGCCCTTCACAAAATGATCAAGGGTCATGAGTGATGCATCTGTTGTGCCAGAATGCTTTGTGAGTGAGGTGACCCAATGGTATTCAATGAGTTATTGCTAATACTAGTTTCTCAGTGCTTGTAGCCTCTGTGCATGATGGTGTAGAGCTCTGGCTGTATAATCAATGTATAAATAAGATCTAGGTCAGTACTTACTTTGTACTTTGACATCCCTCATTGTTCACTTTTCTTGCTTAAACTTTAACTGGCTCACTGAGCTTCCTGCTTATCCTAATTACACCCTTTAATAATTTATTTGTGAAACGGTTGCCAAGAAATATTTCAATACAGTTGTTCAATAACTAAACGTCTTTGACGTCTACCATTAAAAAAAACTGCTTAAAAAAAATGAAGGGAAAGTTTTCAGTCTTGCACTTATCAGAATTGAACCACAAGAATAATAAAACTTTAGGAAGAAAGCAATAATAGAACACGTGAAGAAGTTGCTGATAATTGGATTATGGTTGGCATAGAGCAGGAGCAGGTAACCATCAACAAACAGGGCAGGTTGAATCTGATTGGGCAGAGCATCGCCATGGAGACACAGCAGGAATTGGCTTTGTCTGTATCTGTAATGTTTTATTCAATGAGAAAGGTGATATCCTGCAGCTTGCAAAGAATGGCTCCCTTTGTGTAAATAAATGAAACTTGCAGCAGGCACAAATGAACCACACTGCGGGCACAATTAATTATCCTAAATTGATTTCCACTGTCATTCTTCGCACAGTCAGAATTATTTAGTACATGTTGTCCATCAGCAGAATCACAGATAATGTTGTACACTACGTTCTACGTTTGCAAAGCATGGTTTGGTTAAGAACGCAGCTCTCTGCGGACAGTCCAAGGGGAGTATCGTTTGGTACAGTAAGCCAGTCATTAATAGATTACATGATAACATAGTTACAGAGAGTGAGAGGAGTCAGTCAGTCCAGTCTTATGAATGCAGGGCTATGGCTCTTGTGGCTGCCTGCATAGGCACAGGGAGATGGACAACTCTAAGAAGAAACACATCGTCAAGCTTAGCAGAGCAAGAAGGACAAAATAATTAAAGAAAGAAAGACTTGCATTTATACAGCAGCTTTCACAAACTCAGCATGTCCCAAAACATGATACAGCCAATTAAATAGTTTTCGAGTGTATTGTGTACTATTGTGATGTCAAAAACAGGGCTGCCAACATCTGCACAGCAAGATCCCAGGCAGCAGCATTATAATGATCAAAGTGATAGTCATTGATGGTTAAATATTGGCCAGGACTCTGGGGAGAAGTCTCCCGTCCCATACAATAACACCTTGAGAGAGCAAATGAAGACCCAGTTTAACACTGTATCTAAACAGGGGCATCTCCAACAAGACAGCATTCCCTCAGAATTGCACTGAATTGTCAGCCTAGATTGTGCATTCACAAGTCTTTGGAATGGGCCTTGAGCTCACTTACTTCTGACCCAGGTGGCAGCGCTACCCTGAGCCATGGTGTTGTCAATTTCTGAAGATGAGGGTGATACTAAGCTTCAGGTTTAACATCGGTCATTGCAGGAGGAAAACCAGATTAAGGTAGATAAGGAATGTTATGTTATGGGGCTTTAGGAAAGAGTGAGTTAGAACAGGATGATCATTTGAGCAGATTAAGGAGGAATGCAGATAGGAGCCCATTTTGCACGTTGTATGAACTGCTTACCAATTTTCAGCCTCCTTTTTAGAGATGATGGTTTGAATTGTGGTTGTACTGGAGTCAGTGCACTCTGGTCACTGCTGCTTGTGGATACAGTGTCATCATCTCTACAATCCAACAAAGACCTTCTGTACAAAATCAGTGGAAGCCACTCCTCTCCACTCTCTGCTGCCATCTGATCTGTTACAAACCTCTCCAGGTAATTGTACCTGAGCAGAAAATGAAAGCGATTGAATGGTTGAAAGCACTGAAGAGATGTGTAAAAGAGGGGTAAAAAACACACTTTCATGTCACAGAGACTGCATCTGAAGCCTCTACTTAAAATCCATTAATTGACACAGTTCAAAAGAGTTTGCAGCGACAGATGGACCTTGGTGGGGGTTCAGGCAGTAAGACTGTCAGGAGTGTGATGGAATACTCCCCACTTGCCTGGATTGGTGCAGCTGTAAAATTTTGAAGAGCAGCCCACTTGATTGGGACCACATCCACAAACATTTACTCCACCACCGACACTCAGCAGCAGCAGTGTATACAAGATGCACTGCAAAAATTCATTAAGACTCCATAGACAGCAGCTTTCTAACCTATGAGCTCTACTATTTAGAAGGATTAGGACAGCTGATACATGTAACTCCACCGCCTGCACGTTTCTCTCCAAGCCATTCACCACCCTAACTTGGAAATACATTGCTGTTCCTTCAGAGTCACATGGTTCAAACATTGGAATTCCCTCCCTAAGGGCATGGGTCTATCTACAGCAGGTGACTGCCGCGGTTCAAGAAGGCAGCTTACCACCAGCTTCTCAATGGCAACTAGGGATGGGCAATAAATGCTGGTCCAGCTGGTAATGGCTCTTTCAATGAATAAATTGAAAAAGAAAAGACATATCGAGTAAGTATCCTGCAAAGTACATGAGATCTTGGACCTTATAAGTACTTTATTGAGTGAAAAGCAGCAAATTTTGCTAAACATTTTTAAAATTCTGGTTAAGTCACACCTTGAATAATGTATCCAGTTCTGCTCACCACATGGACGTAAACTTATGAAGGTCTTTGAAAGGATGCAAAACCTATTTACCAGATGGATTTTAGACACAATGTTGGGTTGGACAAGCAGTGTCATTCTGTTATGAGATAACAAGGTGTAGAGCTGGATGAACACAGCAGGCCAAGCAGCATCAGAGGAGTAGGAAGGCTGACGTTTCGGGCCTAGACCCTTCTTCAGGGCCTGCTGTGTTCACCCAGCTCTACACCTTGTTATCTCAGATTCTCCAGCATCTGAGGTTCCTACTATCTCATTCTGTTATGATCCTAGATGACAACATTACTGGGCAAGTCAGATCTTTGAATGAAATCTGGCCTGGTAGATCATTTTGCTTTATTTAGTGAATATGGAGAATAGTCACTGAAGCACTGTCACAGGAAGTTGCAGAGTTTCTGTAACAACAGAAGTTTATAACACAAGACAAAATGAAAACAAAAACGACATACTAGTCTACCTGGGTATGGAAGACAGTTTAGGAAAATCTTTAAAAATATAACAAAATTATATTTAATATACAGGAATTCAAGTACAGAGAAATTATCCCTATACTTAAAATCTTTAAGGTCTAATATAAAACAAAGAAATGTGGAACAAAAACAAAGTTGCTGGAAAAGCTCAGCAGGTCTGGCAGCATCTGTGAAGGGAAAACAGAGTTAACGTTTAGGGTCTGGTAACCCTTCCTGCAGATACTGGAGATCTAAAACAAAAATAGAAGATACTGCTGAAACCCAGCTGGTCTGGCAGCATCTGTGGGAAGAAAGCAGAGTTAATGTTTCAAATTTGTTGACTCTTCATTGTCTAGTTAACTGATTGTCTCCAGTTTCTTTCCTTCTTAAATGAATATTCACAAATCTTTCTCAGCTTCTAATGACTCGGAACTCGCTAACCAAGCTCTCCTGATTTGGAAGATGTATAGAATAAAGTTTTATACTGAGGTAACTACATTTTCCTTGAACTGTCCCGAATTCCTGTAAGGAAAGGAACTAAAAACTTTCTCCTTGCCCCAGTCAGGTGTGCTCTGAACTGCCCTAATTTTTTTTACTCTGGATTTTCTAAACTAAAATCAATTCTTGCTTCTGATTCTTGATTCTAAGGTCCCGATTCTAATGGCCTTCAAAAGGTTAACCTACCTGTCATAAATGTAAACCGTTTTCCATTAACACAACACAGGGGGCCACAGCCACTTGCTTTCTGAACAATGTTGGGGTAAGGTCAGTATTTCACAAGGACCTTGATTTTATTTTAAAGAACAGCTTTTCTGAAGAAAACCTCCATAGCAATGAGCCACAGTCATCCACCTGAATGGTAAAATACACCTTCCAAAAACGATATTAATATATTTATATAAATGATACATCATTCAAAGTTCTCACTCGAGTAAAAGATGCTCTTGGAGAGATTTGATTGAGGTGTATGTTTGAATTGGACAGACAACCAGAATTTGTTTCCACCATCAATGGCTCAGGTTCTAGAAGGGTTTAGATTTAAGTTTATTTGGCAAAATGGCGGGTGCAATGTGGGGACAAACCTTGTTACATAGTGAGTCAGTGAGTGGAAGTGACCTGGAATGCACCGCCCATGACGGTGGCGATGACGAATGGCTCCAAAAAGAAATTAGATCAACATTTGAGGGGTAAAAGATCACATGGGAGATAGACCATGGGAATATGTCTGAGTGGGTTGTTCTACAGAAAGTTTCTTTGTTCTGAAGGTTGGGAGTCTTTGGAATTACCTTCTTCAAAAGGCAGTGGATGCAGAATCTTTATATATTGTGGAGGTGGACAATTCTTGATTACCAAGGGTTTGATCATCAGGGATCTGTAGACGTAAGTTTAAAATCAGATCAGCCATGATCTTATTGAATGGTAGAGCAGGCTCAAAGGATCAGCATGGACTGGTTGGACCGAAGGGTCTGTTTCCGTGCTGTATGACTCTAAGGGTCTAAGGCTGAATGGCCTATTTTTGTCCCTTGTTTGCATATTTGTAGAATTAGCTTGAATTTGATGGGCTGAATGGCCTTCTGTGCTTTAATGTAATGATTCTATGGGCTGACATTAATGGCAGTACCAAAGCAAGATCAGGAGATTTAAGATGCCACAGAACTTATGTTTGAATCATATGGTGGAATTGCAGGAGTGGGAATGAATCGTGAAGCTATTATTTGGGGTTCATTGTGCACTGCTGAGTGCTTTTTGCAGAGACGTGGTCAATGCAGAATTAGCTACCTGCCTGGTTGAGCCATGTACCTAATTAGGCAACTTTAGGAACTAATTGGAGGCAATAATGCTGCCAAGACTTGGAACATCCCAACTCAGACAGTCCCCTCACCGAAACCAAAGTGTAGCAGATCCCTAAAGGCTCTGTCTTGGTGAGACACATAGGACACCACAGGCATCTCCTTTAAATTATCCCTATCACAGGGATGGAAGAGCACAAGCGAGCTGTGGAGAGGCTGCTAGTCACCCACAGCTTCAAGCCCTCCAACGTACGGCGGGGGGGTAGCTCTGTGGTTAGCGTTGCTACCTCACAGCATCAGGGAGCTGGGTTCAATTCCACCCTCAGGCACTCTGTTTGAAGTTGTCTGCGTGGGTTTCCTCTGGATGCTCTGGTTTCCTCCCACAGTCCAAAATGTGCGTGTTAAGTGGATTGGCCATGCTAAATTGTCCCGTAGTGTCAAGGGATGTCTAGCTGGGTTGGTCTGGGAAATGTAGGGTATCAGGGATAGGGTAGGGGGATGGGTCTGGGTGGAATGCTTTTTGTGAGCTCAATGGGTCAAATGGCCTGCTTTCACATCGTAAATATCTGGGCTTCCTGGCCTGGCAACCTGTCTACAGGGGAGGTGATGACGTAGTGGTATTATCACTGGACTGTTAGCCCAGAGACCCAGATAATATTCTGGGGATCTGGGTTCAAATCCCACTATGGCAGAATTTGAATTCAATAAATATCTAGAATTAAGAATCTAATAATGACTGTGAATCCATTATCGATTGTTGGAAAAACCCATCTGGTTTACCAATGTCCTTTAGGGAAGGAAACTGTCTTCCTTACCTGACTGGCCTTAATCTGACTCCACATTGATAGCAAGGTAGTTGACTCTTAACTACCCTCTGGGCAATAAATGCTGCCTGGCCAGTGATGCATGCAGCCTGTGAATGAATAAAAGGTTAAAAAAAAACCTTCCTCAGCAACACTATCAGGATCAGGGCCTGCTCTTGGTCTCCACAACAGAAAACATTTCAGAGCGGTACAATTCCACCCATAGAGTCAGACAGATGAAGATTATTCAATCCATCATGCCTATGGTGGCTTTTTGATAAAGCTAACCAATTAGTCCCACTTTCTTGATTTTCTCCTCAGCATATTTATTATTTACTCACCCAGGTACATAAAACACCCAAACTAAACAGCTATCCCTTTGACTCCACTTGTAGGGCCAACAATCCCATGTTTTTTTTTGTGTAACAGTAATGTGATCCTAGTCTACAGGTTGTCAGATACGTCATCTACACAGGACTATTAGTTCAAAATAAATGTCTTAGCAACAAAGCAGATGGAAATAAGTAATCACCGAAAGCTCTGAGCAAATCAATAGGGAAACAGCACAGAAAGGATGGCACGAATTAAATAATTAACAAAGTCAGCAGTGCCCTTTGATTTGAAACATCACCATGGAATTGTTGGGCCAAATGGCCTCTTCTGTGTCACATACTCAATGTAATTCCACGTGTTGATGGGACGGCAATATTAATAAAGAAACAAGTTGCATTCTTTCATTTGTAAATTAGGAATAATTATTATTCACTTACACAGTTCTTTTGTCTGTTTTCAACAATTTGGGGGAAAACTCGCTCAAGATGTCCAGAAAAGCCATGTTTGGAGGAGGCTGCCCCTTGCTGTTGGTACTGTCGTCTTTGAAGGCAAACTCGATACCATTCCTGCCGAAACAGAGGGTGTCAGGTGAGGAAAGGAGAAAACAGCAAGTTGCAAGTAAAATGGTAACACGGCAGCGAATGCTCAATGAAATTGGGAAATGTGTTGTACTTGTGCAGCATTGCCATCGCTTCCCTTGTTTTCAACTGATCCAAGCCAAAGGTCAGCGAGAAACGTCGGGCCAAGTCCTTGATGCTGGTGAATGGTTGGGACCATCTGTCCAAACTGGAACCCTGGCCTTGCAACAGCTCATTAAACAGCTGCAACAATAATTAATACATCATTAAATATACAGGCCTCAAATTAGATAGCATTTTAACTCTGATGGGGATTACATAGACAGCATTTTAACTCTGATGGGGATTACATAGATAACATTTTGACTCTGATGCGGATTTTCTGCCCTGAATGTTGTGAGGCAAATCACGAGTATACCTCAACCTGAAACTCCATTTTAGTATCAAATACCAATGACGATAGTGCTCAAAATACACAGGGAAGGCAACGGGAAGAGATCCCCCCGATAGCCTCAAAATCACCCCTGAACATTTGATTAGAATTGGACAATATAGTTTCCTCTCTATGTGGCGCTGGGGGGGGAGAGGGAAATAGACACTTTGAGGAATGGCTCCTCTGAAAGGAGATCGAGTCTCTGCCATGCAGGCTGTTCCATCTCTTCTAGTTACACATCGCCTCTCTCGCACCTTCTCAGGTCGTCAGATCATACATTCCCATTCTCATGCCTTTTCTCCTCCTCCAATCACACATTTCCTCTCTCCCACATTTTCTGCTCCTCTAGACAGAATCAATGATTGGATGAGTAGGAAAGGCGGGAGAGGGGCAATCTGTGATTGGGTGGCTAATGAAATTACTCTGAATGGTCAGGGGGCCATAAGCAGCAGAGGCCTGAATGGAGGTTATTTAGGGAGATGGGGTCCGAGTACATATTGAGAACAGGGCCAGGAGTTGGCCGCGGCCGGGGTAGCAGGGCACTGAGCACTGGTCAAATGAGAGCACATAAATGTTCACAAGGAATGGAAGCTGTTTCTCTCATTTGCTGTAGCCTGCACTTGCTGCTTAAAGAAAGCTATTTTAGTCTTGTTCTTTACCTAACTTCAGAGATCAAATGATTACATTTGAACTGCCATACTGGAACAGGCGGTGCTATGACAGGACAACTTGTCAAAATTTTGACTACAATGCGTAGCTCAAATGTCGAAGAGGAGCAGGTATCAGAGGAAGAAAGGCCCCAGCATTGGCAGTGCAGGAAAAGGGGGGGGGTGCTCATTACACCTGATTAAAGATCCATAAAGTTTTCAAAACGTAGGAGAGAGTTTGGACATGCCTTTGACGGTCAGCCACACATGAAGACCTGAGCCTTCCAATGCCTCTTGTGTTTTAAATAACACTGAGCTCAAATTTAACTCAAGCAAAGCAGAATTGAAATTCGCTCCAAACAGTGGCTTTATAGTCCAAGACCAGGCCGCGGATGATCATGTGGTAAAGGCTGGTTCTGCAGAGGTGGCTCAAATTGAAAGTTCAACAATTGCTTGAAAAGCACTCATTTTCAAGTCATAGTGGCATAAAAGCATAGAGATCTACAGCACAGAAAAAGACCCTTTGGCCCATTGCATCCGTGTCAGTCAAAAACAACTACCTCACTATTCTGATCCTGAGCAATCAGGGGAACTGTCTGAACAAGTCCTCAAAAACAGCAAATAGTTCAAGAAAAATATTGTTGGCCCCACACTAAGGGAGCTTCTGATTATTGGTATTCAACTTGGAACAAAGAAAAGGTAGCGTGTGTGGTCTTGGATAAGGGGCTGTTTACAACGTGCGCATGAACCCACTTTGGAAGCAGAGTATAGGAGATTTATTTGTCATTCATTAACAAGAACACCTTATTCATGGACTCTAGGTTAAAAGGTTTAATAATATGCATGAAAATATTCTTTGGTATTTGCGATCTTACCTTTCAAAAGAAAAGTCTAAAAGAAATTCAACACAAATACAGAGACTTTGTTACTATATGTGTGCATCGTCCAATAAAGGAGCAAGTGAGAAATGAAAAAATAAACCCTGAAAACAAAAGAACAGCCTGAGAAAATTAAAAAGTCACCCTCAAAAACATCTCACAAAGACCTCTAGAGGAAAAGGGTATTCTCACCCTGAGTGACAAGCTGCCTTTTATAGACCTAGTTATCAGCTGCTTAGGGAAACTTCAGGGCTCGAGCAATTACATCATCAAAATTAAAATTCACTCCAAATTACTTCATCCACAAATTTGAATATTGCTTTCAAAGATCAACTACATTCAGCAAGTGGCACATGATTAAGCTGCATTTCCACAAAGCAGCAGAATAGGCATATATTAATCACAACCGAATTGAAGTGTCTGTAGCTTTGTAAAATATGCACCATTCAGAGAATGTGATTTATACAACATCTCTTGGTTAATTTATAAAGTGCAAAATGCCTTTAAAATGGTCACAAATAAAATGTAACACAGTCACCAGAGCTCTGAGTCAAAATGCAATGACCAGTGACCTGAATTTAAGGGTTAGCTTGACCAATGTGGTCTGCAATGATTCAGGGAGGAGGCTCATTCTCAACAGAAACCAAGGATAGTCAATAAATGCTGGCTCTGCATGCTCACATTCCCAGATTTAATTTGAATAAAATAAATAATGTGACAAAGATCGATGATGTTTATCGCACCGTTAATATTGAAGTAAATACAGAAATAAATTCAGCCCAGCCCAGTCCAGTCCAGTTGTGGGAATTGAAATATACACAGAGAATGCTGGAGAAGCTCAGCAGGTTTGGCAGCGTCTATGGAGAAAGACACAAAGTTAACGTTTCAAGCCCGCTATGACTTTTATCCAGGCCGTCCATGTGAACTTCCAGGTAAGTTCTGAAGAAGAGTCATATTGGTCTCAAAACCTTAACTCTGTTTCCCTCTCCACAGATGCTGCCAGACCTGCTGAGTTTCTTCGGCACTCCCTGCATTTGTTTCAGATTTCCAGCAGCCTTGTTATTTGATTTTCATTTCGGATGTGGGATTTGTATGTTACAGTGCAGAATCCCACCGGGCCTATGCTAGCTCTTTGAAAGACTGATCCATTTCATCCCAGTCCCCTGCTCTTTCTCTATAGTCTAATGTTTGCGAGAAAATGCCCAGTTCCTTTCCTTGAAATTTACTACTAAGTCTATTTCCACCACCCTCTTAGGCAGGGCATTTCAGACCACAAAGGCTCACTGTGCTCAAAAAGTATTGTCTTCTCTACTTTCGCCAGTTATGAGCTTTATTAGTGGCAATGTTCAAGCAGAAGTCAAGTAACAAGATGAACAAAGCAACAATAACAGGGATATTAAGGTCTGGCTTAGGTTTTAGCTAGAGAATGGGTCACTGACTCATTTCTAAACATGCTGTAATAGCCCCTTAGGCTGGAGCTCCTTGCTTTCTGCCAATGCATACACAGGGGGTTTTTACCTGCTTCAAGCTCTGTATTAAGGTCTTTGCACACTGAATTCTATCAATCTGCCTGGTCCTGCTGAGTGTTTCCTTAATGATGTCTCCATAGTCAATGTAATACTGTTAAGAAACAGACACATATTTTGTGAGTAAACCACTGTACATGAGTGTAAGAGTCATTTGCTCTTTTCTTATTGACAGTGATATCAGATTAAAACCTCAATTTGAATTCAGCCTGAACTAATGAGATGAAAGCCTCATCTCTGCACTGAACTGTGAGGCCTTAAGTGAAATGACTGTGGACAGCATCAATCTGTTTCTGAGTGGCTGTGGGGTTTTCAGCACACAGTCACTCCTAATTCAGTACAAATTGGCACTAAGTTGGTTACCAAACTCTGGAGAAGCCACAGAGAAAGCTGACGAGCAAAAGGGTAAAAAAAGATTATACTCATGCAGTTGGGAATGCTCTTCTGAGATTAGGCCTGAGGCAATTACTGGACGGGACAGAGCAAGTTTTACTCCATATAGAACTATGCTATATAAAATGGATCTTGTTTCAAAGTTAATCAATGTTTAGCTCAAGGGAAGGCAAATGGGCAGGAGCCATGTCATAGAGTCATAGAGATGTACAGCACAGAAACAGACACTTCGGTCTAATTTGTCCATGCCAACCAGATATCCTAAATTAATCTAGTCCCATTTGCTAGCATTTAGACCATATCCTTCCTATTCATGTACTTATCTAAATGTCTTTTAAATGTTGTACCAGCCTCGACCACTTCTTCTGGCAGCTCATTCCATACTTGCACCATCCTCTGCATGAAAAAGTTGCCCATTAGGTGTCTTTTGAACCTTCTTTTGAAGGTGAGAGGAGAAAGATTTTAAAAAGACATGAGGGGCAACTTTTTTTACACAGACTGGTTTGTGTGTGGAATGAACTTTCAGAGAAAGTGGTGGATGTGGGCACAGTTACAGTATTTAAACGACATTTAGATAAGTACATGAATAAGAAATGTTTGGAGGCAGGTGGGACTAGTTTAGTTTGGGAATATGGTCAGCATGGACTAGTTGGACCGAAGGGTCTGTTTCCATGCTGCATGACTCAATGCCTTTATGACTCTATAACTGCTGGCCTAGCCAGTGACACCCACATCACATGAAAGAATCTTTAAAAATATGGTTAAAAACACTATTGTTCTGCCACAAGTAAAAACAAGTGGTTTCCTGGGATTATGTTTAAATGGTTCCTTTACAGTGTTAATATACTGACTTATCAAAGTCATACCATTCACATACATTTCTATTCTAATTCACTCTGTAATATCTATATATCTATATACCAATGAGTTGCCGGTGGCACTCTTGAGTATGAGTCAGGAGGTTGGGTCCATAAGACTATAAGATATAGGAACAGAAGTCTGCTCTGCTTTCAGTGGGATTGTGGCTGCTCTGATAATCCTCAACCGTACATTCCTGCTTTTTGCCCATAACCCTTGATTCCCTTACTGATTAAAAATCTGTCTATTGCTGTCTTGAATATTCTCAGTGACTCAGCCTCAACAGCTGCAGTAAAGAACCCTGCAGATTCACTACCCCTTCTGAGAGAAAGAAATTCTTCCTCATCTCTGTCTTAATCATCCACCACTTGAAGAGTTCAGCAGGTAATTGCAGCTCTGCAACGCTGAAACCTCATCTTCCTTTTCAGCTGGGTGTTATTCTTTGCCGTCTGTTCTACATGTCACTCCAGCTCGCCATAATGGTCGGCTCTTAACTGCCCTCTGAAAAGAACCTAGCAAGACCTTCACCTGCTCAGGGGCACTTGGGGATGGGCAAGAAATGCAGGCCTGATCAGGAATGTCCACGTGACAATGGCAAATAGCAAAGACAGATAATATATAAGATGCAAAATCTTTACCTTGATGTACTGTTTGAAGATGTCAGCAGCAATGTCCATCTCCACCACACTGAACACGATTAGTTTACAGAAAGCAGCCAGGAGATTTCTCCTCTTGTGCAGTCTACCCACTTTGCATTCCTCATCTGAAACAAAATGAAGGGGGGAGGGTAACAATGCAGACTGATGTCTAAATTGACTTCTCACACAAATTTGGAGCCAAGGGAGGCCATTCAGCTCCTCACGCCTGATCCATCCTTCACCAGGATAGGTGACTGAATTCCACATTCCCAGCTGTTCCCCGATAACCATCAATGCCTTACCCAACAAGAATCAATCTATCTCCTGCCTTAAAAATATTCATCCCTACATACTTTGATTTGATTTGATTTGATTCGATTCAATTTTATTTACTACTGTCACATGTACCAAGATACAGTGATAAGTATTGTTTTGTGCGCTAACCAGACAAATCATACCTTACATAAATACTTCAGGGTTAATAGAACAGAATGCAGAATATAATGTTACAGCTACAGGGAAGGTGCAGAGAAAGATCAACTACGAGATGTCTTTTCAAAAGTCTGATAACAGCGGAGGAGAAGCTGTTCTTCAATCTGTCAGTACATATTTTCAAACTTCTGCACCTTCTGCCCAATGGAAGAGGTGGAAGAGAGTATAACTAGGGTTGGATGGGTCTTTGATTATATTGGCTACTTTCCCGAGGCAGCAGGAAATGTAGGCGAAGTCAAGGGAAGGAAGGCTGACTTTTTTGATTGATTGCATTGTGTTCACAACTGTCTGTAATTTCTTGCAGTTTTGGACAGAGCAGTTGCCATACCAAGCTGTGTGCATCCAGATAGGATGCCTTTGATGGTAAATCCATAAAAAATTGGTAAGAGTCATTGTGGACATTTGTTAGCCTTCTGAGGAACTAGAGGCGTTAGTGTGTTTTCTTGACTGTAGTGTCGATGCGGATGGACCAGGAGAGATTGTCGGTGATATTTATTCCTGCGAACTTGAAGTTCTCAATCACCTCCACCTCAGCACCACTGATACAGACAGGGGCATGTCCTCCACTCCATTTCCTGAAGTCGATGACCAGCTCTCCTTCATTTTGCTGACATTGAGGGATAGATTGTTGTCTTTACATTATGCCACTAAGCTAGCTATCTTTTTCCCGTACTCCGTCTCATCATTGTTTGAGATCCAACCCACTACAGTGATGTCATCAGCAAACTTATAAATGGAATTAAAGCAGAATTTGGCCACACAGTTGTGACTGTATAAAGAATATAGTGAGGGGCTGAGTTCACAGCCTTGCAGAGCACCTGTGTTGAGGATTATCACAGAGGAAGTGTTGTGGGCTAACCTTACTGTTTGTGGTCTGTGGGTCAGGAAGTTGGGGATCCAGTTGCAGAGGTAGAGGGGGAACAGAGTCTTAGGTCTTAGAGTTTGGAGATGAGTTTAGTTGGAATTATGGTGTTGAAGGCAGAGCTAAAATCAATAAGTAAGAGTCCAACGTAGATGTCCTTGTTATCCAGATGTTCCGGGGATGAGCACAGGGTCAGGGAGATGGTGTCTATCATGGACCTATTGCAACAGTAAGTGAATTGTAGTGGATGAAAGCAATCGGGGAGGCTGGGGTTGATACGGACCATTACTAACTTCTCCAAGCACTTCATCATGACTGAGCACCAGGACATATTGATTAGGAGCCAGACGCCTCCGCCCTTTGCCCTACCTATCATCATGTACCTCAAACTGCTCCGTGTTGATTAAACTCCCTCCAGTTACCTCCCAATATCCCTCATATTAACCAGGCCACCGAATGCCCTGTACCCACCCCAAACCACCCCACCACACACTCCATGTGGTTCACCTTCATAACCTTATGCTCACGCTACTTGTGACCCTACTTTCCTGCTCCTTGCCTTTTTCTTTCCAAACTAACTCACCCAGTATCCATCATGAGAAGACCACAGAAACCATACTGATATAAAATAAAATTAGGTGCCTACTTGTGACCATTGCTATTTAAAATATAAAAATCTTAATACCAATATTCCTTCAACTAATATACAGTAAAATTTGGCATTTGAAGCTGTCTCAAAGACCGCGCCTGAAGGAATGCATGTTTTTACCTTTGGGAAGGATTTACTTGCCATAATGTGAGAGCAATGATGGTTCTCTGATCCTGGAATGGTGGAATTGAGGAGACTGGGCCTGTAATCTCTGGAGTTTAGAAAATTGAGAAGTTGTCTCATTGAAGCAAACAGAATTCTGGGCTTGACGGGCTGGATACAGGAAGAATGTTGTCTCTGAGTAAGAGGTAGGGCAGTTGGGACTGAAATGAGGAGGAACTTTTTCACTCAGAGGGCAGAATTTTCTCCCCCAGAGAATTGTAGAGGTTCAGTCCTTGAGTATACTCAAGACAGAAATTAATAGATTTCAAGTTATTAAAGATGTCAAGGGAAATGGGGGCATTGTGGGTGAGGTAAACGATGAGGTCTGATCTCAATGTAACATTGAAACAATGAAAATAGGAGCAGGAGTAGGCTATTCAGCCCTTCGAAGTTGGTCTGCCATTCTGCTGATCATTCAACTCAGTCCCCTGTTCCAGCTTTCTCCCCTTTGATCCCTTTAGCCTCAAGAACTATATCTAATTCCTTCTTAAAAGCATTTATTGTTTTGGCCTCAACTGCCTTTCCTAGTGAAGAATTCCACAGGTTCACCACTCTTTGGATGAAAAAATTTCTCCTCATCTCAGTCCTAAATGGCCTACCCTGTCCATTTGACTATAACCCCTGGTTTGGACTCCTTGGTCATCAGGAAGATCTTTCCTATGGCCAGTCCTATTAGAATCTCTTTCAGATTCCCCTTGTAGGGGGCAATGATGGAGCAGGTTAGAGGGGCCAAATGACCTACATCTGTTTCTATTTCCTTTATCCTATTACATATATATAAACTTGTATATATTAAATACCTGTCTGTTTAATAAATGGAGACTCTGTTTTTACTTTCCCAATTTATCTGAGCCGTGTTTTATTACAGTTTCAGAGAGTACTCTATTGGTAATATATATTAGGTGAAGTTAAACTTCTGCAGAGGACGATTCCATTGGAATGTGCAATCCACAAGTTGCTCAAAATAAAATCATCAGGAGAAGAGGTGGTCTAACATCACTTACAATTTTCCTACTGCAACACCATCATTGCTTGTTTTATTGTGTTATCAGTTAATGTTCATTTTCACACACTGAAGCATCCTAGTCCCAGAAACTAAATGAGGCAAAAGAATTCTTCCAATTCCAGACCAGTCTGTTTACAGGCTTCCAACTCTAACATAACACAGTCTTGGAACTCTACCATTAAGTGCAAACATCAATCACTACCAGTACATATAATGATAAACTACTTCATACTCTATCCTTTATTAAAAGAAATCTCATTGTAGCAACTTTATGGACTGTAGCAAAACAGTAAATACAAGACTAGAGATGGTGTGAATTTAAAAATATTCTCAGCCAATCTACACCCAATCTTCAAAATTCCAATTGCATCAAAGAATTGAAGCTTGTATCTGGTCTAGTAGGAGTTCTTCACACAAGCTCTGGGCTAATATCTAGGTTTAAACAATGTTTTTTAATAGACCTTGTACAATAGGGAGACTACACGGCACCTAGTCTGTGCTGTATATGTTTCAATCTCCTAACATAGCACTCATATATGCTGGCTGAGTTAGATCACAGTTCACGCCAAAGTCTCATCGCTATGTTAGTTAAACCCTAACTCAACTGGTCTCATGGATATGGCTCATTTTTGGACTCCTTAACTCCCCATCTGTGAACTTAAACAATCTCAGAATGTCCCGAAAACATCTTGTAGCCAATGAAGTAGTCACTTGTTCTAATGAAGGGAACACAGCAACCAATTTACACACAGCAAAACCCCAAAACAGCATTGAGATCACCTGTTTTACTGAGGATGAGTTAGGGATGGCCAGGGAGAATATCCTTTCACTTCTTCAAAATAGGAGGCAAATGGTGTTGGTGGAGGGCTTTTTTTTAAAACTGGAAGCCTGTGACAAGTGGTGTACCCCAGGGATCTTGTTTATTGCTTATTACATTTATGACTTGGATATGAATGTAGAAGGTAAAATTAGTAAGCTTGCAGATGATCAGCTGGTAAACTGGGCAGAGCAATTACAGTTGGAATTTAATCCTGCTGAGTGCAAGGTGATGAATTTTGTGAGTTCTAAAAAGGGAAGGATTTGCACAATGAATGGTTGTTCCCTAGGGAGTACTGAAGAACAACGGGACCTTGGCGCACAAGTCCATAGATCCCCCAAGGTGTCAGCACAGGTAGACAGGGTGGTGCAGAAGGAATACGAGATACTTTCCTTCATTAGCCAGGGTGTACAATATAGGAGTAAGGAAATCTTGTTACAACTTGTGTGCGGTTCTGGTCGCCACACTATCAGAAGAACGTGAGTGCACTGGAGAGGATGCAAAAGAGATTCATCAAGATGTTGCCTGGGATGAGAAGTCTCAGTTACAAGGAGAGGCTGGGTAGACTGGGCTTGTTTTCCCTGGAGCAGAGGAGGCTGAGGGGTGATCTGACTGAGGTATACAAAATTATCAGTGGTATAGACAGAGTAGATTGGGAGAATCTTTTCTCCATGGCAGATGTGTCTAAGACCAGAGGGCAAAAGTTTAGAGTGAGGAGCAAGTTGTTTAGAGAAGATCTAAGAAAAAAAATCAGTACTAGAAACATGGAACATGCTGCCTGACAGGGTGATGGAGGCAGAAACTCTCAGAACATTTGAATGAGCACTTAAAATGCCATGGTATTGTAGGCTATGGAACAAGTGCAGATAAATGAGATCAGTGTATTTTGTTGGTTGGCATGGACATGGTGGGCCGAAGGGCCTGTTTCTGTGCTGTATGACTGTAAAATAATGCTGAGGAATATCTCAAGTCCACCATAGAATGCAGATGGGGGGAGTAATAGTTTCTTGTCTCTGGTGACAGATGGCTGCTCCAAATTTGCACCTCTCCCTTGGTGCTGCATGCAGTTTGTGCTCTAGTCTCTGAAATTGAGCTTAAGGCCAATAACCTCGTAGTAATTTGTCCATGTCTGATGGTCAATGGCAGCTCTGGATTGTGGTGTGAGCTTCTACTGCAGCAGCCTTGGCTCAGTGGTAGCTATATCCTTCTGAATCAGATGGCTTTAAGTTCAAGTCCCAAAACAAGGCTGTTCTCCAAGCATCTTTTATTTTAACTTTGCTCACAGAATGTGGGTGTCTCTGGCTAGGTCAGCATGTATTGCCCATCCCTAACTGCCCTGAGAGCCATTTAAGAGTTAAGCACATTGCTGTGGGTCTGGAGTCACATGTAGACTAGGTAAGGAGGGCGGTTTTCCTTCCCTAAAGGATGTTAGTGAACCAGGGGACTTTTACAACAGTTGACACTGGCTACAATTATGCTGGCTATTCTGCCATGGTGAGTTTCGAACCCCTGTGCCCAGAAAATTGGCTGTGGGTTATCAGTCCAGTGACATTACAACTATACCAATGTCTCCACATATCCTAGCCACAATTAACCTGTCAAAGGCGTGGCTAACATGTTGTTAACTGATTTACAGCATCTCACATCAACAACTTAACCTCACTATCTGATTAGAATCATATAGTACTGGAGATGTCCATTAAGCATGTACCACCAAAAATACACCATCTCCTACACCAGTACCACTTATACACACCAGGCCCATAGCTTTGTTTGTACAGCACTTCAAATGCACATCCAAGTACTTTTTCAAGGTTATGATGTTACCTACTGATCTTTCCAGTGTTTACACTGTCACTGACTGCTATGGGCTCTCATTTATATGTGTGTATTCATCAAGGTGTGTTCTACCAACTCTGGTAGCCTGAAAAGGCCCTGCTGCTGATAGTGGGCTGGTCCAAACTGCAACATAACCCCCTGCCACCATACCACTCCTCGCAACCCTCTCCCACCCCTCCTTCCATGGTGCTCGAGTCTGGAATGTAACAGAATAGCTACACATCATTCTTCTGGGGGAGGCCAAACCACCAGAGGTCACAGTCCACATATAGAGGAATGGGGAAGTGGTCTTGCAATTGGAATTAAGGGAGCTAGATAGAAAGTTAGTAAGCAGGACCTCAAAAGCAATCTCCAGATTACTGCCAGTGCCTTGTATGAGCAAGTACAGAAATTGGAAGATATGAAGGATAGCAAATAGGGGTAAATACAATTGAGAGCCAAGGTCAGTACAGAAGGCTCAGAAAGGAGGCAAATAAGAGAAGCCAAGAGGGATTATTACAATAAAAGCCTGGCAGCTAACAAAAGGGAAAATCATAAAGTCTTCTGTAAGCACATCAATAGCGCAATGAGTAGGACTAATTAGGGACCAAAAAGGGGATTTACATTTAGAGACAAGAGGCATGGCTGAGGTGTTAAATTAATACTTTGCATCTGCCTTTACCTTTGAGCAGGATGCTGCCCTGGCCATGGCTGACAGAGGGAGGAGTCTCAGTCACTAGAAGGGTTTAATCCTGAAGTTACACATCCTAGCCTCTCACACAAATGAGCTGCCCATATCCAAAACTACCAGCTGAAATTGAAATAAATTCTATAAAAATACGACTAGCGTGATGGTTTGCACTTTTAATATTATTTCAATTTAATATTCATTCTTTTAGTGTGTTGTCTACCATTTCCCTGATTCCAGCTGAATTTGTTCATTTTTATTTAATTTGATTTGCTTTTAATTTGATTCCCCAGAATATAAATTAATTGTCTGATGTAACTCAAAACTTCAAATCGAATACAGTTCTTAGGGCTAAAGGGATCTTTATGGGGGCATGGAGAAAGCGAGAACAGGGGACTGAGTTAGATGATCAGCCATGATCATACTGAATGGCGGAGCAGGCTTGAGGGGCCGAATGGCTTACAGCGGTTCAAGAAGGCAGCTCATCACCACCTTCTCAAGGGCAACTAGGGGCAGGCAATAAACACTGGCCCAGCCAGAAACACCCCACATCCCACAAAATGAATAATTTTTTTTAAAAACTCCTATTCCATAATTTCTATGTTTCCAATCAGCCCTTTGGGTTCAGGAACTTGTGCCTTGAAAAAAAACACCATTATGTCTACATTTATAAAAATCTAGAGTAGAAAAATTGGGAGTCTCCACAGTAAACTTGTGCAGAGTGACCCGAAACAGCTCCAATGACCTCTGTAATTCCCCAGTGTGGACAGAAAGATTGTCACTCAATCTTCAGCCTTACCTGAAAGAGACAAAAATAAAGTAGGTGTGCAGTGTGGCTGCCACCTGGTGTTCATCCTACAAACTACACACATAAATGGGAAAGAATTGTCCAATGATGGGCTCGCCAAGTTATTCTTGCAGAGATCTGGTGAGGACAGAAGAAGTAAATGGCCTCTTACTGTGCTCTAACCATTCTAATGATAAGACAGTAAATATTCTTTTTAAATCTAAGTGAGTAAATAGTTTAATCAGAAGTACCTTGACCTAAATGTTGATTAGAGACAGGCTAATGAAATATATGGCAGATGGAATACAATGTAGTAAAGTGTGAGGTTCTGCATTTTGCTAGGAAGAATAGATGCATAGCCTATTTTCTAAATAGAGAAAGCTTTGCAAATCTGAAGCACAAAGGGACTTGGGAGTCCAAGTTCAAGATTATGTTAAGGCTAACGTGCTGGCTCAGTTGGTCGTTTGGAAGGCAAATGCAACGTTTCATAACTTCAGGACATCCCTACATGCCTTCCAGCCAAATGAATGCATTTTCAGTGTTGCCATTATTGTGATGGTTATGATCAAATACAGAGTCAATACCCTGACTGTAGACAGCAGCCACGTGGTTTGTTTTACAAATTAAGAGATGATCCCCTGGAGAGCCCAGTTATTAATAGCACAGCGCAGACAGTTGCAGAGAAGGAAGCAAAGACAGTCAGAAGGGGCCAGGTTAGATCACTAGTCTTTGCCATTTCAATGGATCTCAGCTGGGGAATCCCAGGACACCACAGTGATCACAGTACCATGGATTCTTGACCAATTGCTCCTCAGTGACTCACATCTGGCGCCAGGTGAGAGCTGGGCCAACCACTGCCCCCTAGAGGAGAAAACTGCCTGCTGCCTGGCTTCACAGGGGGAGGATGAGACAGCAGAGGAAGCTCAAGGAATCAAGCCCCAGGTCGAAATCAAAGTCCTGCAGACGCTGGAAATCTGAAACTGAAAAGCACTGCAGAAACCCAGGAGGACCGGCAGCTTCTGTAGAGAGCGAAACAGTTAACATTTCCAATTCAATCCGACCCTTAGACTGAAACTCCTGGAACTTTGTGACAAAACTCTTTGGAGTTCTTCTTCTGAAGAAGAGTCACACTGGGGTTAAAAGTTAACTTTGTTTCTCTCTCCACAGATGCTGCCAGACTGCTGAGCTTCTCCAGCACTTTGTTTTTTTTTCCCCTGGTTGGAAGTCAACAACTTCAGGACAGGAAGAGAACTCTGTTTGACCTTGGACGGAGCAGCAACGCTGTGAGTTGCAAAAATACATTAAAGCGCTCTCAAAGCACAAGGAGCCCTGGCATCAAAGTTTGGGAGCTCTGAATCCTGGAATAGTACAAGTTATCAAGTGATCCAGTCCCAGGCTAGGAGTCCTGGCTTCATGGGCTTCAAATCCCACCATGGCAGCTGGTAGAATTTCGATTTAAAGAATAAACTGGAATATGAAGCTAACTTCCATAATAGTGACCCAGAAACAATCATTGATTGCCGTAAGGATACAGTGGGTTTATTAATATCCTTTAGGGAAGGAAATCTGCCAGTCGTACCCAGTCAGGCCTACACGTGACTTCAGGCCCACAACAATAGACTCTCAAATGTCCTCTGAAAAGGGCCTTTCAGGGCACTCGGTTCAAGGGCATCAGGCAACAAATTGACCGCGACACCCACATCCCATGAAAGAATAAATAAAGTCGGGGGGGGGGTTTAGGTTCAGAGGAGTAGCTGACGGCACCAGAGCTTACCGTTGTCAGGGTGTTCGTTGTCTTGGGCTATAAAAACATGATCCAGGACGAAGGTCACAAGCTCCGTCTGCAAGGACAGCTCTGGGATGTACGCAAATGGCTCGACCATTTCAGAGCCACTGGGTGGTTCCTCGTGGCTGAAAACCAACAGGAGATCACACAGAATGACGAAGGCCTGGAGAGGGACATAAACATCTTTCAGCCATTGTAAAACACACAGCGCGTGGGAGTTGGATAGAGTGGGACGCATTGATTCTTCCACAAATTATTAGCTAGGCTTTAAGAACCCATTGAACTCCGCCTATTGGCAAAGGAATGGAGTTTCCAACATCACCTGAAGATTTGAACCTTGAATTTAAACATTAATCCCCAGTCATCACTTCAAATAAAGCCCAGCGAAAACATTGCATCCATTTCAAATTTACGTGTAATTTTTCTATTTACTTTCTTTGAAATCTTCATGAGTTATAAAAGTGCTGTATGTCTCTGGCAGGGAAGGAGGTGAGCGGTGAAGGTAAAAGGGCCTGTGATAAAATCTTCAGGAATCTCTCCAACTAGAGTTGGCAAACCCCGCCAAAGTGCTGCTCATACTCCAATCCAATCCTCAGGTGAAAGTTGGCAGATTCCAATCGGCCTCCAGGATAGGGAGCATCGGGGGGGTAATCTGTGATTCTTCTGGTTCACTTCCTGAGCCCCATGAGGGAAATGAAGGACACCCACCCCACCTCTGCTGGAGTTCACTTTGTTTTTGCTGGAACCGATCGCTGGACTGGTAAAGCATAGCTTTATTCTCGGGGACACAGGTTCAAGTCCCACTGTGGCTGCTGGTAGGATTTAAATTTGGTTAATTAATATAAAGAAAAACATCCAGAACTGAAAGCTAGTCCCAGTTGTCTAGACGGTGGAACTGTCATCGATTGGCGGTAAATCCTGTCTGGTTCGCTAATGTCCTTCAGGGAAGGAAATCTGTCATCGTCACCTAGTCCGGCCTACATGTGACTCCAGAATGTGGTTAACTCAAATTCCCTCAGAAATGGCCCAGCAAGTCACTCCGTTCAAGGGCACTCGAGGACAGGCAACAAATGTGACGCCCACATCCTATGAAAGAATAAATCGAAGAAAGGCTCCCTGATCTCGTTCTAGCAGCTATAGCTGACAAGGCACCACTCCACATCAAGTATGGCTGACCATACTTTTACTGCCTGTTGTCTGCAGAATTGGATGAATCTACAGGTGGGTAATCAATTAATGACATGAACACGGCTTCCTTGACACAAGTCTTTGAGTGGGATTTGAATCCACCCAGAGGCACAGGTACTACCCACTGCCCCACATGATGCCCCCTGCTGGTAATATTAGAGGACCACTGACTCAAAGGCCCAGACCAATGCTCTGGGACTGGATTCAAATAGCATCACAGTATCTGGTGGAAACTAAAGTCAACAACATATAAATCTGGAATGACGGGGGCTCTTGTGATGCAGTGATAACGTCCCTATCTCCGGGCCAGGAGGCCTGGGTTCAAGTCCCATCTTCTCCAGAGCTGTGTCATAACATGTCCGCACAGGTTGGCTAAAACATCTGGGATGAAATGATATTGCCATGACCCAAGGTCATGAAACTATTTTAACCCATCTGGTTTATTAATGCTGTCAGCAGCTGGACACAAACCAGCTGAACCACATGTGACTCCAGAACCATAGCAACGACTTGTGACTGCTCGGCAACAGTGTTGTCAAGCCACTATTAAAAAAAAGTCAAATGTCAACACTGAATGGACTGCAGCATTCCAGAAGACAGCTCGCCACTCCTGTCTCAAAGGCACTTAATGGTCAGCAATCCTGTGAATAAATAATGAAAAGCTAACAGTTTAGTCTAATGGTAGAGCGTGGCTTTACAGATAGGGCAGAGCGCAAGAAACAACAAAAGACCCAACCCAGCCTTGGCAATGTAGCCCTACTACTCCCGGCATTTTAGACGGCGTTGAAAGAAAGCAAAGTAATGAGAACCACTCAATCCCAGCGCATATAGGAGCCAACAGGAGACAGTTGGGCCGAGCGGCCTGCTTTCCCATGTTGCGACTTCTGTGCCATTCTACCAGAGGTGAACCTGTCCAGTCTGTGGCTGCTGACTCTACATGGGCCGTGAAGCCTGCTCACTAGGCCTCTTCGAGATGACCTTGTCCACACTGACCTGCTCTTTGACGGTGCTGCTGGGATTATTTAGGAACTGTCTGCAAATGTGGCAGAAACCCCTCATCTGCTTCCTCAGCGACACCTTCATGCTCTGGACAGAAAGAAAACAAGCTTTAGACCAGAAAGAAAAAACAAGGGGAACATCCTGTGTCTGCTTTGCGTTGTTGCGATTTTCCGATTAGCTTCTTTGAAGATCACGTCAACCCAATGGCAAAAAGGTGTGGGAGAGCATTAACACAGCCCACCTGTGAGAGCTGATAAGCAAGTCTTATGATCATACACTCATTCCATCACTAAGATTAGTTACACCCACTTCCATAACATCACCCAACTTCAGTTATTCTCCTTAGATCACAGAGGGACAAGGAGATATTTAATTATAGGTGTACAAAATTCTGGGCAGTTTTGGCAATGATAGGTACAGAGCAACTATCCTCTATTCGCAGCAGGGATTTGGAGATATACTTGAAAAATAATTGCAGGGGTATGGGTAAGGGCTGGGGAGCACAATTTGTGGGAAATCTCTTGGAAAAGAATCAAAGCAGCCGAGATGTGCCAAATGGCCTCTTTCTGTGCAAATAGAGAGCTCAGCAGTTCATGTTGTATCTTAACAGAGTGACAATCCCTGCTCTTTTTTTAAGTGAAAAGGTTATAATGAGGCTACAAAGGGTTACAGATAGATTAATTGAGTGCCAAAGATGTGGCAAATGCATTTTAAAGTGAGATTATGTAAAATTGTCCATTTTGGTAGGTAGGACGATAAAGTAGCATATTATTAACATAAAATAAAGAACTGCAGAGACTGGAAATATGAAACAAAAACACAAATTGCTGGAGGAACCCAACAGGTCTGGCAGCATCTGTAAAATGAAAGCAGAGTCCAATGACACTTCTACAGAACTGATGCTGCCAAACCTGCTGAGTTTCTCCAGCAATTTCTGTTTCTGTTGCAGCACACAGAGACATTTAAGCGACTCTTGGATAGGCACATGGATGGTAGTATAATGTAGGATATGCAGGGTAGTTTGATCTTAGAGTAGGGTAATAGGTCGGCACAACATCGTGAGCTGAAGGGCCTGCACTGTGCTGTACTGTTCTATGTTCTATGTTTTGTTCATATTATTAACAAAGGTCTGAGATGCAGAGATGTCCTCAGTCATTTTGCACAAATCACAAAAGGTTAGACCGCAGGTACAACAAGTAATTAGGAAAGCTAACGGAATATTATTATTTAGTCTGAGTATAATTGGATATAGAAGTAGGGAGGTTATGTTTCAGTTATACTGGTGAGACCAAATCCAGAATACAATGTACAGTATTGTTCACTTCATTAATAGAAGGATGTGAAAGCATTGGAAGTAGTTCAGACAAGGTTGACTAGACTAAACCTGTTCTCCTAGAAGGAAAAACCGAGGCTTGTATCTCCTGAAGGTTTGATGTGGAGGTGAAGGTGTTGGACTGGGGCAGACAAAGTCAGAAGTTGCACGACACCAGGTTATAGTCCAACAGGTTTGTCTGAAATCACGAGTTGTGGCTTCGTCAGGTGAAATGACTTCATGTAAGGTCCTGAGGGATCTTGGCAAGGTAAATATGGAGAGGGTGTCTCCTCTTTTGGGAGAATCTAGGACTAGGAGTCACTGTTTAAAAATTATGGGGTCACCCGTATAAACAGAACAGGCATTTTTTTTCTCTCTCAGAGGGTTATGAGCGTTTGGAACTCACTTCCTGAAAAGCTGACAGAATCAGAGTCCTTGAATATTTTTAAGGCAGAGATAGGTATTTTCTTGTTGAGCAAGGAGGTGAAAGGTTATTAGAGGCAGGTTGGAATGTGGATTTGAGTTTATAATCAGACCAGCCATGATCTTATTGAATGGTGGAGCACTCATGAGGGGCTGAATGGCCTACAGCTGTTCCTTCTTCATATGTTTGTATCTGATCCAAAAACAACAAGGAAAGGCTCACATCCCTGTACCTTGGAGGTGTTGCTTTCAGACACTTTTGACAGCTGCCACATGACATAATAATAACTGCAGAGGATTGCCTGAACGATAATCTGCAAAAACAGGGAAACACATTTGTAAACATCATCTTTTACATTATCTTAAAAGTTAATGGGGCTTAATCAATGTCGGTTTGTGATTCATTGAAGTCAGAGTGCATATGCTTTTTTCTTTATCCCTGTAAAAGATCACTGTCAAGGCCAACATTTGTTACATGTCCTTAATTGCCCTTGAACGGAGTAGTTTGCTTCGATATTTGCAAAGGGTGTCTACGTGCAGCTAAGTCTGCACCTCTCCATGCATTAGTTTTGCTGTCACCAACTTCTTTCAGTGTATGGATCAACAGGACCACCTTGGTAGAGGAAATACCTACAGTGTGGAAAACAAGCCATTCAGCCCATCAAGTTCACACTGACCCTTCAGACAGAATCCCACCCAGACCCAACCCCCTACCCTATCCCTGTAACCCTGCATTTCCCATGGCTAATCCAACTCACCTACACATCCCTGTACACTGTGGGCAATTTAGCATGGCCAAACCACCTAGCCTGCACATCTTTGGACCGTGGTAGTGTGTGGCTTTACGGATAGGGCAGAGTGCAAGAAATAACAAGACCCACCCCAGCCTCAACGTGTAGCCCCGCTACTCCCAGCATTTTAGAGACAGGGGGAGAATATACAAGCTCTACACAGACAGTCGCCTGAGGCTGGAATCGAGCCCGGGTCCCTGACGCTGCGAGTCAGCAGTGCCAACCACTGAGCCACTGTGCTGCCCAGTCCACTTCCTGGTCTAACTAGAAGAGGATTTTGTCATTAACAAGACATAGTTTATTACATGTTAGCAATTAGTCACAAGTTACATTGATATGATACACACTGATTTAGAGATTTGGAGGAGGACCTGCTGTTAGATTTCACTCCTTCGAGACTCTAAGCTGTTCTGCCCATAGGTTCGTAAGACAACATCACAGTGAGTGGTTATTCTGGCACTCCTCAATATCAACGCTTTCTATCCCATTTACAATGGTTAAAAGTCTACTCACAGCGGGCAAAGTTTAAAAGTAAAAGTAAAACAAAGAACTGCAGAAGGAGTAAATCCGAAACTCAGCAGACCTGGCAGCATCTGCCGAGGGAAATCGGAGTTAATGTTTCGAGTCCAGTTCTGAAGTGTCACTCAACTTAAAACATAATCTATTTCTCTCTCCACAGATGTTGCCAGACCTGCCGAGTTTCCCCAGCAATTTCTGTTTTTGTTTAAATATGAAATTTCCCCCGTTGAAGACTGCGATGAGGAGAGATAATTTCCCCCAAAAGATCTTGAGTCTTTGCAACTCCCTTCCTAGAAGGCAGTGCAGGCAAGGTGATTGATTATTAAAGGCAGATAGAACCTTGACCAAGACAGGGGTCAGAGCTTCTGATGAAGAGTCAGAAACATTAAAGTTGATTGGGGGAGGTAACGGGACATCTTGCAAGTGGGAAGATTTCAAAGCTGAGATAATGAGAGTTCAGGGACAGCACGTTCTTGTCAGTGTGGACTGGAAGGCTGGCAGGAGCAGAGAATGTTGGATGACTAGATATATTGAGGAATAAAAACAGAAATTGCTGGAAAAGCTCAGCAGGTCTGGCAGCATCTGTGAAGGAAAAGACAGAGTTAACGTTTCAGGTCCGGTGACCCTTCCTCAGAACAGAACACCGGACCCGAAACGTTAACTCTGTTTTTTCCTTCACAGATGCTGCCAGACCTGCTGAGCTTTTCCAGCAACTTTGTTTTTGTTCCTGATTTACAGCATCCACAGTTCTTTCGGCTTTTAGATATATTGAAGTTCTGGTCAAGAAAGAGAAAGAGGCATAAATAAGGGTATACACAGCTGGGATCAAGTGATACCCTTGAGCAGTATAGGGAGTATAGGAGTATTCTTAAGAGGGAAATCAGGGGGGCGAAAAGGGGCCATGAGATAGCTTTGGCAGATAAGGTTAAGGAGAATCCAAATAGATTCTACAAGTACGTTAAGGGCAAAAAAGTGACTACAGAGAGAATAGGGCCCCTTAAAGATCAATGAGGCCATCTATGTGTGGAGCCACAGCAGATGTGTGAGAGCCTACATGGTTATTTCATATCAGTATTTACCATGGAGACAGACATGGAAACTAGGGAACTTAGGGAAATAATTAGTGATGTCTTGAAAAGGGTCCACATCACAGAAGAGGAGATGCTGCAGGTCTCAAAATCCATGAAGGTAGATAAGTCATCATGACCTGACCAAGTGTATCCCAGGGCATTGTGGGAAGCTAGGGAAGAAATTGCAGGGCCCCTAGCGGAGATATTTTTATCATTGGCAGCCATGGGTGAGGTGCCAGAGGACTGGAGGGTGTCTAATGTTGTGCCTTTATTTAAGAAAGGCTGCAAGGAAGAAACAGGGAACTACAGACCGGGTGAGCCTGACGTCAGTGGCGGGTTAGGTGATTCCGAGAGACAGGATCTACATCCATTTGGGATAGTCAGCCTGGTTTTGTGCATCTGTATCTCACTGTATCTCACAAACTTGATTGATTTTTTTGAAGAGGTGACCAAGAACATAGATGAAGCCAGAGTGGTAGGCGTTGTCTACACAGATGTGAGCAAGATCTTCGGCAAGATTCCGCATGGTATACTGGTTAGTAAGATTAGATCACATAGGATCCAGGGAGAGCTAGCCAATCGTACTCAAATCTGGCTTGACTGTACGAGATAGAGGCTGGTGGTAGAGGGTTGTTGGTCAGACTGGAGATTGGTGACCAGTGGATCGGTGCTGGGTCCACTGCTTATCGTCACTTATATAAACGACTTGGATGAGAACATAAAAGGTACAGTTAGTAAGTTTGTGGATGACACCAAAATTGGTGGTGTAGTAAACAGTGAAGAAGATTATCTAAAAGTACAATGGGATCTTGATCAGCTGGGCCAGTGGGGCGAAGAATGGCAGGTGGAGTTTAATTCAGATAAATGCGAGGTGCTGCAGTTTGAGAAGACAAACCAGGGCCTCTCCTCTCAGCCTGGCAGGCAGGTCGCCATAGTTTCAGCCTTGGGTAAAGGAACCACCTTTCTCTCCAACCAGGAAGTCAAGGAATCTGGCTGGAGGCTGGTTGAGGTCCCTCAGGGATGTTGAGCTGACAAGATAAAGGCTGTAATTGATGATGAGTCAAGAAGGTTGACCTTCTCGCCCAGAATTTATTAAACGAGGTGGTGTGAAGGGGGTCAGTATCTCCAGGGCCACCTCCAGGGAAAGGAAAATTCTGTTCATTCTGCCCGATTTGGGTATATCAGCCATGATTCTTATAGAACAACAGAATTACAGAATTTGAACTGCAGGAGTTCAAGGCGGCAGCTCGGTACCAACATCGCAAGGGCAATAGAGACGGACAATAAATGCTGGTCCAGCCAGTGATGCTGATGTCCCATGAGAGAATGAAAAAAATTGTTTTGGTGCAGAAGAGGCCATTTGGCCCATCATGCCTGCTTCAGCTCTATGAATGAGCATCTTCACCTTGTGCCAATGTCCTGCATTTTTCCCATACCCTTCCACAAAATTTCTATCCAAATCATCATCCAGTGCCCTCCTGAATGGTGAGGCAGGCTGGTAAGGTAATTTCTGATGTTCTTACGATCTTTGGGTTATTGGAGCATACAATCAGAATTTCTGCTGCCCCGTGGTACATGTCAAATGTTACATAGCAACATCAGGACCCAACCCCGCTAACTAAAGATCAGCATCAAATGTGTCCCCATTTGGTTCAATATTGTCCTTAAAGCCTTTCATACACAGCACTTCACAATCTCTAATCTGTCTTCCCCAATGCCAATGCATTCATTCCTCTAACTCTAGTCGGCAACTCGATGCAGAGTTTAGGGGTGGCACGGTGGCTCAGCGGTTAGCACTGCTGACTCATGGCGCCAGGGACCCGGGTTCAATTCCACCCTTGGGAGACTGTCTGTGTGGAGTTTGCACATTCTCCCCATGTCTGCGTGGGTTTCCTCCGGGTGCTCTGGTTTCCACCCACAGTCCAAAGATGTGCAGGTTGGGTGGATTGGCCATGCTAAGTTAGCCGTGGTGTTCAGGGATGCCTAGATTAGGTGAGTTACAGGGGGATGGGTCTGGGTGGGACGCTCTGAGGGTCGGTGTGGACCGAAGGGCCTGTTTCCACACTGTTGGGATTCTATGAACCTGCCCTATTCTGAGTTTCTCTGACCCTATCCATTGTAAGTATCACACTGTATAATATGAATTGTATGCATCATATAAATCACGTTACAACTCGTGCTAACTACCAGTTTGAGGGTGAAATTGCTTCACATCTGCACAAAACATATAAAGTCGGTGATTTAACAAGTAAGGCAGATGTACATATTCTGCAAGAGATGGTCATGGTAGTAGTTCATGCCTCACCTGGTCAGGTACATTTCCATTCTCCAAGGCCCTCTTCAGCAGTTTACAGGTGCTGTTTAACAGGTTCCATCGAGTTATATCATGAGCACTGAAATAGTGAAGAAAATGGAATTTGCCACCTTGTCAGAAAGCCAAGCTCTCACATGACCTTTTACATCAGGGTTTCACTTACTGCAGCAACACCAGCACAACAGCGCTGTGAGACAGGAGTACACAAACTGAAATCCTTTCCAAATCGTTTTCCAAAGGGAATTGGATAAATAGTTGGAGGAGAACGCAAAATGACAGAATGGAGGGGAATATGTGGAAGGGAGAATTAACCTGTTCTTCAAAAGAAGAACACCGATGGATCTCCCTTTGGGCTTTATCTTCATTCATTCATTCACAGATGTAGGCATCACTGACAATGCCAGTATTTATTATGCTTCAGACAAAAGTATCGGTTTTTGGGCTATTGCCGAGGGAAGTTAAGCATCAATTACATACGGGAGGTGATGGCCTAGTGGTATTATCACTGGAATGTTAATCCAGAGACCCAGATAATGTCCTGGGCACTCGGGTTCGAATCCCACCACAGCAGATGGTCTAACGATGACCATGAACCCATTGCCAATTGTTGGATTAACCCATCCAGTTCATGAATGTCCTTTAGGGAAGAAAACTGCCATCATTACCTGGTCTGGCCTACATGTGTCTCCAGACCCACAGCAATGTGGTTGACCCTTAACTGCCCTCTGGGCAATTAGGGATGGACAATAATTGCTGTCCGGCCAGCGACGCCCTCATCCCATGAACAAATAAAGAAGAACATTGCAATCTGGATTGACAAATAGCCTTGTCCATAAAAGAATGGCAGGTTTCCTTTCTGAAAGAACAGTAGTAAACCAGACTGCATAGTTATTCAACTAATTGAATTTAAACTCATGTCCAAGGATCATTAAGTCAGGCCTCTAGATTAATAGCGCAGAAAAATGACCACAATGTTAGTTTACCCCGCTATACTAGTTCAGGATTCTATGAAAGAGAACAAGCTAAAAATCAGGTCTGACATATGAAAAAAATGGCCGCTCACAATATCCTGAGGAGGCGAGATCTTCAAGAATGAAAATCAGTACAAAATAAATAAACACCCAAAAACAGCAGAGGGAAAGCAGATATCACAGTGCATGGTAACAGAGTATATTTGGCTCACTTGCTTTAAGCTGAGATACAATTTGCTTCCCATCCAATAAAGAGATAAATGTAACATATAGAGTCTGCATAAAATGTATGAATTAGGAGAAGGACCAGGAGAAGTCCTGTCAGCCCCTTGAGTCTATTCCACCATTCAAGAAGATCATGGCTGATCTGATTACTCCACATTCCTGTCTCTCTCTCCAGTCTTTAACTGGATTTCTCTACTAAAGAGGGAAACATAGCAACACACATCTTATCAAACAGCTTCCAGTTACATGAACTGACACTTACCAGTGCTAAATGTTTCACTTACTTGTGGAAGGTCGTGATTCTTTTCAAAGCACACCACATCTGGTAAGATTCTGTGTCACCAAATTGGCCTCCCTGTTGAGCAACAGATAATAGTGTGAATAACGAAAGGACTACAGCAGCAAAGTCAGACCATCAGGTCAGTTTTACAGACTCGCTCGAAGAAGAGGAGGGGCATTCTATGGCAGCATTATCCCATTGTTCCTCATTCAACCAAATTGCCAGCAAAAGTGCAGATTAACATGCCAGTGGCTGTCTACAGGTTGTCACTGCTGCAGAATTACTGTCAGAAACAAAGTCATCACCTCTCCAAAAACAATTCATTGCACAGCAAGTTGAGACATTTTGAGAAGTTGGCCCTATATGCCTACCATGGCCTCCCGCAACCAGTGGGCACAACAGGGGAGAGAGTGTGTGGTGAACACTGTAAACAGTCTTATTTAATTTGCTATGTTTCCTTTGTTTTTCATGGTCTAGTTCTTCAACAGTCAGCAAAGATGGACAGCTGGACTGTCACTTTATAGTGGGAACAAAAACAAA